GGGCCAGGAAAGCTGAAACTTATATGGAAGCATCTTTGGGTAGTGTAGATATAAAATTGTTAAAATCATGACCCCCGGGGGTAGGGCGGGGCCACAATAGGGAATCCAAGTTTTACATAGAAATATATAGAACAAATTTTTAAAAATCTTCTTCTCAAGAACCACTAGGCCAGGAAAGCTGAAACTTATGTGGAAGCATCCTTGGGTATTATAGATATTAAATTGTTAAAATCATGACCCCCGGGGGTAGGACAGGGCCACAATAGGGAATCCAAGTTTTACATAGAAATATATAGAACAAATCTTTAAAAATCTTCTTTCAAGAACAACTGGGCCAGGAAAGCTGAAACTTATGTGGAAGCATCCTGGGGTAGTGTAGATTCTAAAGTTTTAAAATCCTAAAAGGGAAGGGGGTAGTGGGGCATGATAGGTATAGCAAGAGGGGGAATCTTGTAAAGAACTGCATCTGACCCAAGTTACTCAGGTGAGCGATATGGCCCATGGGCCTCTTGTTTTTAATAATTGGATAAACTATGTTTTATCGCTTTGGGTCAGTACCAATTTGGCCAGACAGAACTGTGATTATAGAAAAAATGCCAAGGAAATAATTATACAGAGGAATTTCCAAATACCCTTGTCATTATTGATGGTACTGAAATAAAAATTCAAAGACCTAGTTCTTGAACAAACAAGAGGCCCATGGGCCACATCGCTCACCTGAGAAGTCTTGCCCATGCTGTTCTTTCCTAGATTTCCCCCGCATATTGTGACCCCACCCTACCCCCAGGGGTCATGATTTGAACAGTTTGAAATCTACACTATCCCAGGAAGCTTCCACATAAGTTTCAGCTTTTCTGGCCCAGTGGGTCTTGAGGAGAAGATTTTTTAAAGATTTTTCCTATATAATTCTATGAAAAACTTTGTGATCTTATTGTGCCCCCCCCCCCCAAACCTCGGGATCATGATTTGAATAATTTAAAACCTACACTAACCAAGGATGCCTCCACATAAGTTTCAGCTATGATTTTTCCTTTATATTTCTAAGTAAAATTTGATTTCCCATTGTGGCCCCGCCCTACCCCCGGGGGTCATGATTTGAACAATTTAGAATCTACACTACCCCAGAATGCTTCTACATAAGTTTCAGCTTTTCTGGCCCAGTGGTTCTTGAAGAGAAGATTTTTAAAGATTTTTCCTATACATTTCTATGTAAAACTTTGATCCCCCATTGTGGCCCCGCCTTACCCCCGGGGGTCATGATTTGAACAATTTAGAATCTACACTACCCAAGGATGCTTCCACATAAGTTTCAGCTTTTCTGGCCCAGTGGTTCTTGAGAAGAAGATTTTTAAAGATTTTTCCTATATATTTCTATGTAAAATTTTGATCCCCCATTGTGGCCCAACCCTACCCCTGGGGGTCATGATTTGAACAATTTAGAATTTACACTACCTCAGGATGCTTCCACATAAGTTTCAGCTTTTCTGGCTCAGTGGTTCTTGAGAAGAAGATTTTTTAATGACCCCACCCTATTTTTGCCATTCCTTGATTATCTCCCCTTGTGAGGGGACTTGGCCCTTCATTTTGACAATTTAAATTTCCCTTCACCCAAGGATGCTTTGTACCAAGTTTGGTCAAAATTGGCTCAGTGGTTCTTGAGAAGAAGTCGAAAATGTGAAAAGTTTACAGACGGACGGACAGACAGACGGACGGACGACGGACAAAATGTGATCAGAGAAGCTCACTTGAGCCTTCGGCTCAGGTGAGCTAAAAAAGTCAGTTTTACTCAGACTATAAGTCCAGTACAACTCTTAAAGGATTAGTTGGTGTTGATCCCAAGGGTTCTATAATATTTGCTTCAATGTTATTTTCAGGGTCATTTTCTGACAATGACATTACTCATCAGAGTGGATTTTTGAAAGTTTTAGAGGAAATGATGAAAGCAGGTAAAATACACAAAGATGATGGAGTTATGGCTGATAAGGGTTTTCGTATTGAAAATGATCTAGAAAAGATAGGGCTTAAGGGGCCGACTATGGTTTTATTGCGTGAAAACTACAATAGCGAAACTCTTCATTTTTATATCATATTTAACTGACATTAACTTTAGTGTACATGCAAACTTTGGGGGAAATCTACCGTCCAGGTATTTCTAAGGGATCATCTTAAAATACAGGTACATTTACTATAGGATTATGTAGGAAAGTGCCAATTTTTAGCACTTTAAAGCAAATTATACAAATACTACAATAGCGTTTTTGTGAAAACTATAATAATGTTTGACGAGTAATACTATCTTGTACATTATGTGTAAGAAACACAAAATTCTACAGTCTTGTTACCAGAGGGGGGCATCTCAAAAGGCCAAAAATTAACGAATTTTCCTGTTATTATAGAGTGCTACAAAATATAACGTATGCATAGGATTTATACAAAAATAATAAAATATGATGAAGAGATTATCAAATTCCTATGTAGTAAATTTCAAGAGCGTATGTTTATTACTTTTTATTTAATATCATCTTTATTATCCCTTTCTTTAAGACCTTCAGTTTATCATAACGCGTCAAAAACGCACTATAACGACGTCAACCTACCTATCAGTTGCAAAATCGGTTCAAAATTCAGTTATATATAATTGTTATTACATTTTAAAAACTTTAATTGCTTAATTTTGTTTAATTTTATTAATCAAGTGAAAAAAGTTGCTTTAAAACAGTAAATACGCTTCGTTTTACTATGATGCGCGAAATATTGCGCAATGAAAACTAGAGTCGGCCCCCTTAAGTTAAATATACCACCATTCTGTCCTGCATCTGGCCAGATGAAAATATCGGATGTTAATATTACAGAAAAGGTTGCAACTCATAGAGTACATGTTGAGAGAACTATTGCTCGAGTAAGCAAGAGGCCCATGATTAGAACAATCTAGAATCTACACTACCCCAGTATGCTTCCACATAAGTTTTAGCTTTTCTGGCCAAGTGGTTCTTGAGAAGAAGATTTTCAAAGATTTTTCCTATATATTTCTATGTAAAACTTGGATTCCTTATTGTGGCCCCGCCCTACCCCCGGGGATCAGGATTTGAACAATTTAGAATCTACACTTCCCCAAGATGCTTCCAGGTAAGTTTCAGCTTTCCCGACCCAGTGGTTCTTGAGAAGATTTTGAATTTTTTCCCCTGTATATTTCTATATAAAAATTGGATTCCCTATTGTGACCCCACCCTACCACCGGGGATCATGGTTTGAACAATTTATAATCTACACTTTCTTAGGATGCTTCCACATAAGTTTCAGCTTTCCCGACCCAGTGGTTCTTGAGAAGAAGATTTTTTTAATGACCACACCCTATTTAAATTTGATATTTTCTTGATTATCTCCCCTTGGAATGGGACTTGGTTCTTTATTTTAACAATTTAAATTTCCATTTACCCAAGGATGCTTTGTACCAGGTTTGATTAAAATTGGTCCAGTGGTTCTTGAGAAGTTGAAAATGTTAAAAGTTTACAGACGGACGGATAGACAGACGGACAGACGGACGGACGGACGGACGGACGACGGACTACGGGTGATCGGGAAAGCTCACTTGAGCTTTCAGCTCAGGTGAGCTAAAAATGATACAAAATTAGCTAAGTACATTTTTTAAAATTCTTCAAATGCCCAAACGAGGCCAATGAGAGAGGTAATACTATGGGTTTAAAAAATAAATAATTTGTCAATAATTTAATCGTAATAAAGTGTTAAATGGGGGACAATATCAATACTAGACCAGTTATTTTGTTGATTTTAAGGAAGCTCTTAACACTGCACACTAAATAGCTCTACTTATAGGGTAGTTTTATGCAGAAAGAGTGATTTGCATGTCCGTAAAAAGTGAAATTAAAAATTGTTATTTACAGTTAATAACACGATTTGTAATAAATTAAAACAATTTTAGCATTATATAAGACCAAGAATAAGTAATTGAATTTATTATTTGCACTAATTTTCCCAATATAAGTAAACAGCAGTGATAGTCCATTGTCTTTGAACATTTTCCCTGTGGAAATAAGGCAGGTACCCTACAGTGTATGTTATAAATGAATGAAAAAGTGTCAATATGCACATTTTGATATGATTTTATTTTTCTCCAAGTTCAAAAGCAGTTTATTTTGGTGTTTAGAGCTTCCTTAATCATACTATTTTCCTTGCTTTTTGGCAACAGTATATCATTTATCATTTATCAGTTTATACAGTTGAGGCCGTTTGATGTTGTTTTGTATTTTCTTTGTTGTTTTACACAGAATAAATTGAATAGAATTATATTCCATTAAATCTTTATTGTTCTCTTTCAGACAGGGAGAGAGAGAGTAGCATTTAATAAGTGGCCGGTTTCATAATTGACGATCAATAATTAAATATAAACAATAAATAGAAAATAGTGATCATGAGTGGACAATGTACACTTTTTCTGCATCTTTCTTAAAGTCTGCCGTAATAAATATATATTGTATGGTGACTTTTCTATAAAAAAAAATGACAGCAGCAGTCATCTGTTTAGAGAATAGAAATTAACATGGTTTTTATTTTACATACGCGGATGAAGGTCTTTTTTTCCAGGAAGGGGGATTTTTAAAAAAAATCCCTCACAGCTGTAGATCCCCGCTTGTGTCAAACGTTCAAATTGACTTCTAACCAAAAAAAAAAAAAAAAAAAAAAAAAAACATGACAAAAGCATTATTCCTGTGTGATTCTCCCCTTAAATGTATCGATCAGTAGCGATCCTGGTTAAGTTCACAGCTTAAAAATAGTGCTGTACTTCGTTAAAATGTTTTTTTTTTCTTTTAAACGAAACCCCTAAGCGTTAATAAGCCAATCCAAAATAACTCTCGTTTAAAAGCGTGTCTCTTGAAAGTTCACAATGAGTAATTTAAATGCAGTTTTTGTACAATATGCAGTCGGTAATCCATTTCCCTGTAATACCTTTAAACTGGATTACTGTTTGGCTAATTTTAGAAGCATTAACAAATCACGTCTGTTTTGAAATCGAAAAATCGGAAAAGATAAACGAAATGGCGGTAGACGAGATTGGAGGTTTGTAAGATCACAGGTCATTGCTTAACTTTAAGGAATGGGAGAAAAACAGGAATGTTCAATAAGCGATTTAAATGTTTTAAGTGATAAGTAAACTTTGGGATACTTCAGTTCTGGTGCCGTATGCTATTGACACTTTGGAATAAATGACTCTTTTGAAGGCAACCTACGGCGATGATGGGTCAGGTTTTTCAAAATTGTGAGGTAAGAAATTTCTGTATAAATGCTAATTGCTAATATATTTGCTTTCTTTTCCCTTATACAGTTTTGTTTTATTTGACAATCCTGCCTTTTTTCACTGATCCGTAACCACTTAACAGAATTGTAAGAAAAATTAAATCAAATAGGGATTTAAATTAATTCTAAACGAGACACTTTTTCTGATAATTTTCGCTGCACATAGAAATTAATCTCCACAAAAAACAATTTATTTGAATATTGCCATCAGAAGATCGGCGACTATTTATGGGAGGTTATATGTCTGATGATGTTATGATAATTTTAGCTTAAAAAATTACATAATAAATCAATCAGTCAATGTGACGTGATTTTTATCTTACATCGCTAGGAACTGATACAAGACGACATTTTGTCAACTTTGATCTAAGACAGAAATATAGAGAGATACTGTTACATCCCAGTTAAAATTTCCCACACAACGTGACAGCCTAAAACAGTTTAAAATCTATAATCTGTTTCTATATATCAAAGGTATCAAACAGTCGTTGGGAAAAACTCAGGGCTTCAATAAAAGTCATTGTATTAACATCTGATTTTTTAGACCTATCTAGGCGTTTAGTATACAAGGCGTTAAAAAGGAACACAAGATCATAGTAAATGCATCAAAACTAACCACCACCACCACCCTCTTCCACCTTCTTCTCTTAACCCTTATAAATGTTTTTAGGGGGAAATAATATGCTATTAGAACTTGGGATGTTTCACATGATGTTGGGGAGGGTACCCATCATTTTTTACCACTGCTCTTTGACACATTCTATGGTTACACCAAAAGGACTTTTAACACATTACAACAAGCTTCCCTAGCAAGCTTTATATTTTACTGCATTAGTCGAATTCAGAAGTGTGTATGGAACCACAGCTCGTGGGATGGAGGCCTATTTGACAGAGGTTTGACTAGTTTTATTCAGGGTATATAAATATTGTACTACATGGTCGACTTTATGGACCTAGTTGATTATGTCGCATTTTAAGCACTCGGCTGTCAGACTGACTTTATGACTTGGTGTACCGATTGATAAATACCACTCCCATGTTGACAGTGGCTATGGCGACTGCTTCTATCTAGAGTTTGCTGTTCAAAGAGAGATTTTACACAACGTTGTTTTGTTGATTGACCCTTAAAAAGGTTTTAATCACTGTATTGGCAGATCAAAGATTAAATTTTTCTCATTGAATGAAATATCATTAAACATACATTGTCAAATAAATGAAAGAAATGTTTGCAGGTTATACGTTATACTTATCGAGACCAGATAAATCATATATATATATATATATATATATATATATATATATATTTATATATATATATATATATATATATATATATATATATATATATATATATATATATATATATATATATATATATATATATATATATATATGTTTGAAAGTTTAATTATATAATATGATAAATAAAATAAAAATGCAAACCTTCTTGTTAAAACGTATAAATAGATATTGAATGTGTATCTGAGTCATGAGTGTGTGTGATTATATGGTTTAAGATATAGAATTTGAAGAATAAAGCACGAAAAAGGAAGTCAAATCCGTGTTATCTCTATTTATGACTTTACTTTATATAAATTGTATTGACTTTTTCTCATTGAAAAGAGTGTACGTTAATTCGTCAGAAGCAAAAAGATTACAAATGAAATATTTCCTTTTTCCAAAAGCTGACTTAATCCATTTGATATTTCTAGAACCAAGTTTGATTTCACTTTTTTTTTCTTTGCTAGAAAAAGAAAAGAAATAACTTTTTTCTTTTTTTCCCAACTGTATACTTCGGCAATGTATCAAGAGAAAAAAAAATCGATGCTGGAATGAAAAAAAGTGTGTTGAATAGAAAATTATATACACAGGCGCGGATCTAAAAATTTTTCCTAAAAGGGGGGGGGGTGAAGAGATGATTTATTATTTTAACGTATGTTTTACATATGGATGTAGTTAAATACATGTGGATCAATAGGATATAAGCTTAAGTTGGAGTATGGTCTTTTAAAGTGGCAGGTTGATCAACCTGGAAAAAATATTTGTATGGATTATCTGAAAGTTTTGCAAAAAAGGAAAATAAATTTCCGAACCCGAAAATCCTACTTTGTAAAGGGGGTGAGGTTTCATTTTGTTTTCACAACTGAATTTCTTTATGTTTGAGGTTTGAGAAAGTATTATTGATATGTGGGGATTTGATTTCGTGGTTAGAGAAGTTTTGAGTAATGATGCAAATTAAAATTTTGATTTTTTTTTCGATTTACAAAGCAAAATCCTGCGTCGCAGTAGGCACTGGCACGAAAAATAATCTCACTATTCAGTGGCCGTACGTGCCGGAATGGGACTAAATTTTAAGCTTTCCACAGGGCGGCAAGTGGTGGCGTCTCCATGTTCACGAGCGAAAATGACGTTATACAACATACAAAATTAGAATTGTGAGACTTGTGATAAAATAATTTCTTTTGCTTAATTCATAATTCGGAACCGAGGGGGGTAACCTCAGGTACATTGTAGTGTAGTAAAAGAAGAGTAAGACTTTAGTGATAGACTTATGTTTGGGGAAAAAATTGGTACTGAGATATGTTCGAACCTACCCCCTCCCACAAAAAATAGGATTTCAGGTTTGGCCAATGATCATTTTTTCCATTTTTCTTTTGCATTGACAGGTGTTTTTCAGGTTTGAATTTTTTTCTCTTTGAATTAGCCCCCCCTTTTCAAATTTGCTTCCGACGACAATGTAATTTAATCTGATTCAACATGAGTTTGTGTTTATTTTAATATTTCATAAAGTATTGCATACATCTTGAAAAGTTTCAGAAATACATAGATGTATTTGGAAGTAAAGTTACGATAAAGAGATTTTATAGCAGTTGTGACATTTCTGTTGTATCAACCTATTATTAACAACCAAAAGTCTCTCAAGAGACTGTAACTCTACTGGTCTGTACACATTAGCTGCAGATCTGTAGCTCTCTGGAAAAAATATATTGATAGACCGGAGAGCTACAGTGCCACCCATTGCAAAAACTGTATATTTATTGCGCACAAAAAAGTGCGCTCAGTTCTCGATTTATTTCTCCATGTTTTTAAAATGTAATCTCAAAATATTACTAATCGTGTGTTCCTAACATATTCTTTCGCTGTTTCCACAGCCAAAAATTCCTCATAATTGTTGTTAATAGTCCTCCTGACCCTGATTTTATAATCATCAAACATTTCGCTTATTTATACTGCCATTTTGGTTTCAAAGATAATTCGGTCCAATATGCTTCGTTCGGATGTCAACTACGAGAGTACTTGATAGAAGATAAAGAATTTTTTTTGAAATCTTTCCTTATTTGCAATTGAGGTAAGAATTTGGAAGAATTAATTAAGAATTGAGCGCACTTTTTTGTGCGCAATAAATATACAGTTTTTTCAATGGGTGGCACTGTAGCTCTCCGGTCTATCAATATATTTTTTTTCGGAGAGCTACAGATCTGCAGCTATGTACACATAACAAAAAATACCTAGATTTGAAACTTGCAACAGGCAGCAATACATATACAATGTATATAATTATGCATCTTAATGTCGTCTACTTGTACATGTATGTCAAATTATATAATTAGATTGAAATCAGAACAAAACTATAGCAGGAATAATGTTTTACAAAGCAAAATCCTGCGTCGCAGTAGGCACTGGCACGAAAAATACTCTCACTATTCAGTGGCCGTACGTGCCGGAATGGGACTAAATTTTAAGCTTTCCACAGGGCGGCAAAATAATTAAATAATTTTCATTTTTTAGTTACCATGGCAACATCGTTCTATCAAATCAAAAACCGATGCATAAATTTATGTATCTTAGTGTAGTCTACTTGTGTGCCAAGTTATATTGAAATCAGACCAAAACTGTAGGAGTAGCGTTTAAAGGAATATCACAGAAATTTTCTATCTTTAGTAATCATGTCAACGTCCAGGCACGTAGCAACAGGAGGGGGGGGGGCACTTTTTTGCCAGCAATACTTTTACTATTGAAAATGTTCATTGAAAGACTGGTTGCCCCCCCCCCCCCACTTTATACTAAAGTAAAGTAACATGAAGGAAATATAGTATTGTAAGCTTTAAAAAATTGATATTGAAAGGAATTTTATCTTAGTCTAGTCTACTTGTTTGCTTAGTAATATTAAAATCAAACCAAACCTATAGAAGGAGTAGCGTTTTATAGGAATTTCACAGAAATTTTTAGTGACTATGGCAGCACTAGTGAAATAAAAAACCGATGCAATAGGGTATGCATTATAGTGCAAAGTTTTATCCAAATCAGACCAAAACTGCAGAAGGAGTAACATAGTGAAAAAAAAATTGCAGACAGACGGACGGACACCTTACTTTCGCAAAAGTTCTTCTGGTCTTTGACCAGTAGAGGTAAAATTGAATTCCCTGTCCTAATTATAAGTCATTAGATCTGAAAAAACAAGAACTTGCTACTCTACTTTCGACATGGCACATGTATTTCAAATCTTGATTATATGTTATAAATAATTTAAAATAAACATAGAACGAAGCCACAGGCCTTTAGATCGCTTAGAAAAAAAATGAGGTGTTGAAAAAAAAAATTAACCTACAATGTTTTTTAACGCGATCCAAAGGCCTGTGAACGAAGCAAAGGATGGGCCGATATCGATGATATGTCCAACTTCGATTCACTCTGATGTCTCAAAACGTTGGGATTAAATTTTCATATTACCGTTCATAAAAGTGAGATTAGAGATATCTTTTGATCTAAAAAAGATATTATATTAGACTATCATTGATAATGCACAACTTTTCACATGACCTTCTACAAAAAAGCGTATTCACAGTGCATGGACGATAGCCTTCAATTACTCGTTGACAAAAATGTCTTTTAATGGAAGGTGTTCCGTGTGAAAGCTGTGGGGGAGAAAATTTTATAAAGAGAAAAATTTCTTGTGTCTTTTAATAGCGAGACGTTTTCACTCCTAATGATCCGGGACCGAATGTTTATATTAAATGGAATATTTCACTCCGTCATTGGGTCGGTTTTCTATTCAAATAATACTATCATTTTAATGTTGATTACCGGTGTAGGTAAAGTCATATCAAATATCTCAAAGTTATTTAAATTCTACACAACCCAAAGAAAAGAAATCTGTTAAGAAAGGTTCAATGTTGAACTATATTTACAATATGCACAAAATAAAAAAAGTTTTCATCCGTCGCACGTCAATATACATTTTACTATTTCCTGTTGAACTATATTAAAAAATCATTCTTAATTTTTAGATGACATGTTTAAATGATGTATCCTACATGTATACTGACAACAATTTCCTATTAAATATTTTTCCAACAACAACAACAATAAATAAAGAGGTATCTCAGAAACATGTTAAGTATATCTGACAATTTAAAAAAAACCATACTGATTACACTAACTGTATTTATTTCTTGCAGATTAAGGAGCCTGGCATTTCCTCAAGTTTTGGAAACAGCAATTAACGTAACTGTAATCCACGATACACATACATGTATCACTGAATGCCTTCAGAAAAAGTGATCGACGAAAGTTTGAATAAATCACCTACCCGATTAATCCTTTAAAATGCGTCTAATCACTAACAGTTCAGTCAACAGTTCGGTTGACGCTTCGTCAACAAGGATAGGAGAATGAGTGCAGCTGTGTTGACTTCTGATAATTCCAATTGGAGACCTACAGTTGTTCAAATCGCACCGTTTTTGCACGACAACAGAAGTTATTTAAAGTCAAGACCTTCCTCCTCCATTACGTATTCAGAAAGTAGAGAGAAGCGACATTATCCAGTCTTAGCTGTCACCCGCACAAATTCGTTCACTACCACAGGTCCAGATAAACCAGCAAATGAAGACGTATTAAATGTGCCATTCTCCGGACGACCTCCCAGAGAGTTCATCAAATCATATTACAGAGGGAAAATTCTTAACCACGACAACTACTTGAATGTATCTTCTACTGACTGTGTTGAAAAAAAATGCTCGATTCAGGATTTAAATTCTCAAACTTTGGATTTCCACACAGAATCTCAAACTGAAAATCAGATGGATCAGTCTCAGTTCCTAGCAATGAATAATAAAGCCGCGAAATCTGTTTTATCAGAGAGAAAGTTCTTTTACGGCACAAATGGAATTATGCGAAATTTAAATCTAACTCCAGGAGAACTTGAGTTACAGAAGCATAAAGAAAATTATGCACGTGAACAGGCTCAAAGGAAAAAGAAATATAAGCTGAATGTGAATCAGCTTCCCCGAAGTACCACCCCAATAAATGACCATGATCCTGATAAACTGAACATGAAACAGGTCATCCAATTTCTTCAAAATAAAAGTGAAATAAAAATAGTGTCTAAAAAGCAACCTGGAAAATTATCTATAAACCCTGATCCCCCAAAGTTAAGTACAATTGGTGTGCGACCAAAAACCGATACAATGATAGCACGCCAGCGGATCAATCCTGACTCTGTTCGTCCTAGTACAGAGCTTCCTAAAGAGGATGGAAAATCCGAGTCAGAATCCAGGATTGATAGTCGAAGCTCGTCTTACAGTAGGGATTCCTTCGGATCAAGATCTGTTCTGTCTACCCAAAGCGTCCCTATTATGGACGCTAAAGGAAAGCGAAATAACTCCAAAATGAACCAATCCTCCAGATCTGTTAAGGACAGAGGGAGGCATTCACGCAGAAGTGTAAAAGAATTCAAACTTCACAGATTTTTAGCCTTAGCCCCAAATGGAATGGGACAAACTACAACTCCAAACAATCAGGTTGAAGAACCAAGACCAATTTACATTTCAGATAAGGAAAAATCTAGTGAAAAACAAATTAAAAGAAAAGCTAGTGATGACTTTCAAGGCCATATTACTTACCGTTCCCCCATGATTAGAGAACAGGTGCCGGCATATCAATTTAGTGAAAATAAGCTAGAAGGCAACAAAATTAGTGCTAGGGAAGAAACGGGTACGTGGAAGTTGGAGCAAAGAAAAGTTTCCAGAGCGTCTAGTTTTATGCATCGCAAAGCTTTAACACAATATAGAGAAAAGGTTCGCTTGGTAAGAGCTGAACATTCTGAGGAAGGTGACGAACTAAAGAACACAACGATCAGGCTTCCTAGTGTCCATGACTACGAAGACAGTGTTCGACATCTTGAATCAGAAGATGATGAAACAATATCTGGCGACATTTCTTATCCAGAACAGGATGAAAAAGGACACGAAATTGCTTCTCTCCTTTCCAGCAGGTCAGACCAAACGTGTAACCGTAGTGTTAGCTACCATCCCTCACTTGTTATCCAAACAGACTACCTGGATAACAACAACAATACCAACAGAAAACTCCTAGTCAACATTCCTAAACAAAATGATTCAAGTAGTAAAGAGATGATAAAGTTAACTCTTCGTCAGGAAAAAGACGTTACTCGTGAACAAAGTTACATGCATGATATTGCAACACCAAGAGAACATAATGTGTATACAATGATGTGTCAACATCTGAAACAAACTCTACCATTGTCAGATGACAACAGCTTGTACAATAGAAGAGTGTATCGTATATCTGCAGTGTCCATAAATGAGGACAAAAAGTATGATACACTTCCGGAGGGCACGTCACTGACGGTCCATGAAACCTTAGCCAATAGCTGTATCAAAGTTAGGCAGAAACTGAAAGGAGCTGTTCACAATGAATGACCTTAAATTTATTTAGTTTCACTGTAGTTTAGTTGAAGACTCTTTTTAAAAGAAGGAAAATTAAACGTTGATTGTCGTATTTAAAGCTGCGAAGTATTAAATTTAAATTGAAGACAGAGCTAATACAAATTAAAAATGTTATGCATTGAACATACCGGTAGTTTCATAAGTATTATTTAGAGAACGAGACGGGTTCTGTATCGTAGATACAAATTTGGGGGTGGACGAGTGCGTAGCACGAGTCTCCACCCCCAAATTTGTATCTACGATACAGAACCTGTCGAGTTCTCTAAATGATTTGTGACACGATCAATCAAAAATTGCTCCGCCCACTTTATAACTTTGCAGCATCCAAACTTCCGCTAGAGTTCTGTAGATGAGGCCCCGACGGGGAGTACGCATCCGCAGTATATATATTTCCACGGAAAACGTAAAATTCGGTCAGATTAGTTTTGACAGTTTAACGGGGTAGACGTAATCGAGTGATAGTCAGTTTTAATGGTTAAATTGGAGGATTTAACCGTCATTGTTGTGATCTATTGTAGATAGAGATTTATCATAATATATTTCAGGGGTATTAAAATTCCGGTTTAACTGGATTTACGAAAACAGGATTTATAGAAAATTTTTCGATGGACTTTGATGTCACGGATTTTTATTTTCAAATTGAATTGCGACATTAAAAACGAAGTGAAAGAGACGTGTGGCTGTCGTCAGCGAGAAGGATTTTAAAAAATTAAAAACGCGGAAAAATGGACCTGAATGATTTTGCACGGGGAGAGTGGATGTTTTCCGTGAATTTTCCGTTTTGTTTGGATCTAAATTACGTACAGAGGATGTTTTCCGTTATTGCGAATTTTCCTTTAGTTTGGATCGAAATTACTTGTAGATTCTGTGTGGAATGTTTTTAAAAAGTGATTGAGAAATTTTGACATTTTATATTCTCAGGAAAATACCGGCTATTTCCCCAAAATTTATAATAGGAAAACATCGGCATTTACTATTTGTACGTGCTTTTGCTAAATTGAATCAGATTTATTTTTAGACCGTGCTGTATTTTAGATACAGAATAGTTGGCAAATACAATACTGTATACAGGGCTAATACAGAACGGAAAGTAGCTCCGCCCACCACAGTCCCGTTCTGTATTGCTAATACAGAACAGTAAACTTCAAAGAAAAACACCGCTATCGTGTCACAAAATAAAAATTAGGATCAGTTTGTGAATCGGTGTTTTAATGTTTGGATTATGGTTAAATCCATTAAGGAGCGTTTTAAATGCACGTTGAAATGTACCCGATGGCGATGTAATCAAACTGGAGTCTAAAATGGTCAGAAACAGGGTTTTTGAAGTTCAAGGGATTCTTTTTAATAAAGAAAATCAGTTAAAATAAGGAAACAAGAGGTCCACGGGCCCTATAGGTCACATAGGTATCATGCAACAATTTCCAACAAATGAATTTGCTTCGTGTTTTTAAACCTTAGGCCATAAAATTTTGAGAGAGGCACCATTGCTCAATTTAACTATACACGTAGCATACTTTAAGTTTGATTACTTAATACCCAGAGGCAGAGTAGGGGAACACTTTATGATCTAAATAGCCCCGCCCTTGCACTTGACCCTAGGGCTATGCATTTCACAATTTTGGTAGAAAGGCCAACTCAATGCTTACCAGTTAGTATATTACAATCATGCAAAAAGTTTGATTGCTTGATGTCCAGGAGTAAAGAAGATTTTAAAAATTGTATTAATTTTAGTGGTTTTGGCCCCACCCCACAGATTTACACACCGTTGTCCCCTTTACCCTTAGATGCTTTACACCAAATTTAATTGAACTTGGTTCAGTAGTTGCAGAGATGAAGCTAAAAAATGTTCAAAAGTTTACAGACGACTACCGGTGCACGACGACGGACGAAAACAGATAGCAATAGGCCACCTAAGTGACTCAGGTGAACTAAAAAGAGATAAAACGTTTCATTGACGACCGATATTCTTAATTTACTTTTACCCCGCCCTTCCACAAGGAACAAGCTTTGAACACAGAAAAAATTTGATTGATTATTGGTGTTTACGCCGAGTCGTCAATATTTCAGCCATATTTTGGCGGTATGAACTTCCTGTTCTGTATGAAAGGTTTTGAACACAGAAAAGGCACGATAAAAATTCCTCACAGCTCATCATCAATGAGCTGAGTGTCGAGTAAAGGTATAAATTTGCAGCTTTTTAACGGTATTAGGTCTCTATCTGAGTTAAAAATTCTCAAACGAGACGGTAAATACATGTAACAATCAATCAATCGATATTCCTCTGTAAAACTTTGATCTCCATTGTGGCCAACCTAACCGCCAGGGGTCATGATTTGAACAAACCTCAATCTACACTACCTGAGGATGCTTCCATATCAATAGGACTAAACATGGCTTTGCTCTTGTAAGAAAAATATTTGAAATATTTTTTTCTTATACATTCCTGTGTGAAACTATGATCCTTCAGTTCACGGATGATAAGTCAGGATTTACTTCAATTTGTATCTTCACTTTTTAAAGACGATTTTAACATTTCTTTTTTAAATCAGTAGCAGTGACGTAGCATCATTTTTGAAAGGGGGCAGCCAGAGAATTTTTTTAACCTTAACTGAAAAAAAAGTTGACAAGCAAAAAAGAGGGGGAGGGTTGCACAAACTCGTTGGGGTAGTTGTAAACGTTTTCAATACCAACCTTTTTCAGTACCCATTTTTATCATACAATACTACATTACATCATTTCACTTCACTGTAGCAAATAAAAGTGGGGGGGGGGGGGGGGGGCAACCAGCCTATCAATAAATATTTTTAATAGTAAAAGGTGTGTTGCTACGTGCCTCAGTAGTTTTTAAGAGGAAGAGTTTAAGTAGATGCCACCATTTTTAAAAATACTTTTTTCCCTAATTATCCCCCTTTGAAAATGAGGGTGGCTCTTTCTTTGATAAAATCATATCCCCTTATCTAGGGAAGCTTTGTGACAAGCTTGGTTAAAATTGATCCGCCATCCAATGAATCTGGAGATTTCGAAAATGTGAAGAGTTACCGACGGACTGTTGCCGAGGCCATTTGTTGCACTAGGAACCAAAGGGAACCATGATGAGGCGAACAAAATGTGATCAGTGAAGCTCACTTGGGCTTAGGTGACCTTAAGAATTTTTTTACCATTGCCGAGGTCCTCTTTAATTGTAGCTCTATGCTACAAAGAAACTGTAGAGGGGTACATTATTTCAGATATTATTTTTAGAGACTTTCCACAAAAATGTACTAATCAACCCTGTATATTACAGCAAATAGCCACTAATAAACCTCATAAGTATTGTCATACAATTTTAGGACTTGTCTTGGCAATTTGCATTGCGATTCTTCTCTTCGGTTTCTTACTCCGCGACGGTGCGAGGCCTTCGCTCAAGCAACTCCTGAACGTGGGTACACATAATTTACACAAGTCACTCTCTCCCTTTCATAGATTATTTAAAAATAAAACACATGAAAGATATATTTTGCCTAGGAAAAGGGTTTTGATGGAAATGTGATAGAAATATTGAATACATGCTGCATTGCTGCCATAATCATATTTTAATTTTGATTACATTTAAGCTCGCCTGAGCTGAAAGCTCAAGGTTTCTTTTCTGATCACATTTTCTCCGTCATTCGTCTGTCTGTCTAGCTGTCCGTTTGTCTTCGCTCTGTCCGTCCGTCTGTAAACTTTTCACATTTTCGACTTCTTCAGAACCACTAGGCCAATTTCCATCAAACTTGCCATAAATTATCCTTACGTAAAGGGATTCAAGGTTGTGCAAATAAAGGGTCACGCCCTCTTTCAAGGGGAGATTATGAAGAAATAGTGAAAATTTGATTGCATGGTTTAAAAATCTTCTCAAGAATCACTTGGTCAGGAAAGATGAAACTTATGTGGAAGCATTCTCTTGTAGTGTAGATTTAAAATTGTATAAATAATGACCTCGGGGGTAAGGGTGGGGCCACTATGGACAAAGTTTTACATAGGATTGTATAGGGAAAATCCTTAAGAATCTTCTCAAGAACGATTTAGCCATGATTAGTCATATTTATATAGAAGCATCCTCAGGTAGTGTAGATTCTAGTTTAATGAGTTATCCACAATGGAAGGTCAAATCTTCTGAAGAACAATAAAGTCATTTATTTATATGGAAGCATCCTCGGGTATTGTTGATTCGAGTTTGTTCAAATCATGATCCCTAGGGGTGGGGCCACAATGGACGATGAAAGTTTTACATAGGAATATTTTTTTTCTTAGTAACTCAGTAGATTTTATCCCGTACCAACTAAATGTTCATTCCCAGAGAACTTTTTAACATTGTTGTTTATTACTTATATTTACATTTAAAGTGGCACAGTGACGCACAAAGGGGAAAATTGACAAATGTAGAATTTTCGCATGACCTCTGTAAATTTTGTTCAATTCCTTAAAGTATTAGATTTCAGAAAATTACAGGTTTCAGAACCTAAAAATTAAATTTTTATGGAAAAAAAATAAAAGTAAAAATAATTTCTGTCTGCCCCAGAATGAAAATATTGCAAAATACCCTGGTACTTCTTCCTCCCTATCATACGCGTGCGCAGAAAAGTGTTTAATAAGTTTCCATAGTTACCATGGTCTCAGGTATCCACGAATGAATATAAGTAGACCAAAAAAATTGATGTAATCTTTTTAAAAAGTTGTAAGAACATATTTCTCACCTTTGCATGCTCCAGTTGAATTTTGTTTACAAGTTTGAGCTAAAAATAAGAGTAGCGTGACCTTGACATATACGAAACAACGAAACGGTTAATACAACCTTTGTTTTTCCGGCACTTATATTGTGCAGTCAATTCTTGCAGTTGAATTGTCATATCTTCGCTATATACTCATAATTTGCGTAAGTCTTTCTCTGTATGCTACAGAATCTTAAAATTAAGATATGATTTTGACTCACTGTGCCGCTTTAAGACGAATAAATTCCGAGTAAAACTGCATTTATTACACAAACGGACCGCCGTTTTGCAATGTTGTGACGCGCAATGACCTAAGGGGCCTAGAAGTTGTTTGGTTTGAAAGTTCGTGTCGCTCCAACATTTGTATATTTACAGTGATGTTCAGCAGCCCAGATCAGGAATTCTGTGTTTATAATGCAATAACAATGATCCCCACTGAGAATAATCTTACTATTTCATGAGTTTTTAATATATATTTAAAGCGTGGTATCCCCTGTTTTAGTTAACATAACTGCAAAAGAATTTCGGGTTAAAAAGGTAAGTCCGATTTTCGGCTGTAATTGCGGTATTTAAAACATTCTTCACACCAAATGAAGATCTATTGAACATCTTTTGAATGAAAATATCTATACGTGTCAGTTATTTTACCTTTTTCATCGCTTTTAACTTGGTAGTTCTGAAAACAGACAGAAATATATAAGCTATGTAAACAAGATATCACCTCGCCAAGCGATTCGTTCACCCTATGACCTCTGACCCCCAAATAAAGTTCACAAAGAATTGAACTTATTCTCTCTTCAAAAGGTTCATCTTAGAAAGATATAATGCAAAATGTAAATATTTTATTTTATTGAATTTTTGTTGAACTTCCTCAGTGCGTTAATATACAAATAATGCCATACAATTAAAAATAATAACCAATAGTTTAAATATTTCGATAGAATTATGCACTTGGAGCAATTGAAAAGAATATTTTCTAAAAGTATTGCCATGGGCAATCCGATCTATCGATACTGTACTTCGTATTGCTGAGAAATCCGCAATCGTTTTATATATTCGATTCCCCAGTCTTTCAGATATCTCTACAAATATAAAAAAAAAAAACATTTAAAATAAAAGAAAACGTGAGATTTTTATGTTAGCGTTATGTTACATTTTGATTTCCTGACATACCTCTCCATAGTTTATCGTTTTTGTTAGTCTTCCATATACAGGCCGCATCTCCTCGTCAGAAAACAAGAATCGTTGTAGTTCCAGAGGAATAGGCTGCGTAGAAAATTTAAAACTGAACACTGAATTGTTAAAATAAACGGAAATCATAATGTACGAGTATGACTTTCCTGATGGTATATATATATATATATATATATATATATATATAATCGTTGGAGGGATAACAATGACAAAATTTTCCAATATTTTTCTGTCACTCACACCTGTTTTTCAAAGGTTCCCTTTCTCCCGTTGGAACCCCATCATAAACTAGTCAAATCTGTCGTTTAAGATTTAAAAATCGGTAACTTTGGGTGGAGGTTGGTGGATGTAAATGTTTTAAACTAGATGTCACGGCATTCAAAATTTTGAAAGAGGCACCATTGCTTATCATAACTATACACCTAGCATGCTTACTTTGGTTACTTATGGAACGCCATCACTGCCTTATAGCAGAACACTACTTTTGCATTGTGTCAACCTTCCATTACATCATGTCAACTCTTTATGACATTAACCCACACTACTATTGCATTGTGTCAACCTTCCATTACATTATGTCAACTCTTTATGACATTAACCCACACTACTATTGCATTGTGTCAACCTTCCATTACATTATGTCAACTCTTTATGACACCCAAACTACTATTGCATTGTGTCAACCTTCCATTACATTATGTCAACTCTTTATGACATTAACCCACACTATTATTGCATCGTGTTAACTTTCCTTTACATTATGTCAACTCTTTATGACATTTACACACACTACAATTATATTTCGTCAACTTGCATTTCGTTATGTTTACTTTTCATGAGATCTTAGTTTTTATTAACTGACGTGAAAAGCTCAAGCCATACTGTGTGCACTCTTCTACATTATGTCGATTCACTATTACGTTATGCGAACACGGGTATCCTCGGCCTTTATATGAGCATAACGTATTTTCCGCGTTCCGCAAGCACTAAAAATGGCGGGAGAAAAAAACTGTCGTAGAAGAGATTCTCGGCGATTTGGGAATGACATCTTTAAATGAAAACTTTAAGCGACAAATGATTGACGTGGAAAGCCTTAACACTGCGACTGTGAATTAAAGTCACGTCGAAATTCAGTGGTGTTTACTTTAATCTCATACAATGTAATTAAATAAATCAAATATTATGAGTCGCGCAGCAATCATTTTGATTCTTTTTTTTTAATAAAAGTCTTAAACTTTGAAGGACATTGCATTAGTTTCACAATAAGCTAAGCTGAATTAAGTTGAAAACTTTTTTCTACAAAACTATAAAGCCTGAGAGATTCTCCGCTTTCCGCCCTTGGTCTCCAACCATATACCCCCCCCCCCCCCTTGTTTCAAGATTCCCATATCTGCCACTGATATATGCCCATGCATGCTTACTAAGGCATATTCAATTGATTTAGATGAGCGACTGGTAGATTTTTGTAAAAGAATTCTGGCCCTGGAATGATTAAAAAAAATTACTAACTCCAGTGACGTACGTAGCATCTTTTTTGAAAGAGGAGGTCAGCCAGAAAAAAAATCATTTACCCGAAAAAACTTGACAAGCCAAGAAAAAAAAGTCCAAGCCCGAAAATCCTATTTCGGAGAGAGGGGTCCAACTTCGATCAGTCCTATTTTTCTCTAGATATATTACAATACCCTTAGTGGATTATACAGTTTCAATGAACATTACATTTTCTATAGTAAAGCTATGTCTGGGAAAAGAGGGGGGGGGTTGATATTATGTGCCTGTAATTTGTCCTACTCAATCAGGACCCAGCCCCCCTTCTTACCAGTCATTAAATCACGGTCGTCAACATTCATTATATACTAGATATACAGCTTTTAGATAATGTAAAATTTTTTTAACATCAGGTAATGAACTTTTGGAATCAACATGATAAAGAGTTAACACAATATATTTTAAAATCACGTAAGAAAGAGTTGACATAACGTAATTATATATCCACATCACGGAATGGAGTTTTGACATAATGTAATAAAGTATTGATATAATATAAAGATATGTTCACATTATGTTATACACTTTTTACACCACATAATAAAGCACTGACATAAAGGTAAGATGTGTTCACCTCATATCATGATGCCCTCGCCATAAAAGAAAGATAAATCCATATCACGTAATAATGCTTTGATATAATAGAAATATACACTCTCAAAAAGGAATGGGCTTTTGACTTCGTGTAATGATAAGTTTAATTATAAAACACAATTTACTTGACGTAATGCAGTTTTGATCTCACATATTAAAGAAATGAAATGATGTAAAGAAAAAATTTTTTCAAGCAAGAAAGTTTTAACACAATGTAAACACATTATCACTTCATATAATGAATTTTTTACTTCAAGTCATGAAGTGCTGACATAATGAAAGGATGTATTTACTTCATGTAATGCAGCATTGACATGATGTTAAGATATATTTACATCATCTCATAAAAAATGGACAATAACGTAAAGATATGTTCACATCACGTAATGATAAATTGACATAATAAATGCAGAGTTGTATGCTATAAGGCAGTGATGGCGTTCCATAGTTACTTAATACCCATAGACAGAGAAGGGGAACAAAAAAAAGCATTTTGACTAATCAGTAATATTTAGCAATAATCAGTAATGCCACTACCACACAAATAACCCCTGACCCTTGGTCCACACATTTCACAATTTTAATTGTAAAAGGCACCCTTTCTTGATATCAAAAATTTTTGATTAATACCAAGGAGCAAATTTAAATTAATTCGTTTTAAGTAAGTAGAGATACCACCACCTCCTCCGACCCCCCCCCCCCCCTTCCATGGTACCCCTGACCCAGGGGCCTTAAAAATCACAAGGAAAAATGGCCCTCGCTCATCATAGCAATATAGGTAGTTCAACGCTTAATACCCAGGAGCGGAGAAAAAAAAATTCAAAGATTTAATGTATTTTCACTATGTAACAATAGAGCCCCACCCTAACACCAGAACACATGACCCTGGGTCCATAGCATTCACAATTTTGGAAGAGGCATTCTTGCTCATCATAACTTTGTACTTACTTAGTTTGTTTGATACCCAGGGGCAGAGAAGAAGATTTTCAAAGAATTAATGTATTTTCACTATATGATCAATAGAGCCCCGCCCTAAAACCAGAATCTTTGACCCTGGGGCCATAAAATTCCCAATTTTGGAAGAGGCATTCTTGCTCATCATAACTATATATTTAGCTTGTTTGTTTGATACCCAGGTGCAGAAAAGAAGATTTTCAAAGAATTTCTGCATTTTCTCTATATAATTAATAGAGCCCCACCCTATCACCAGAACCCCTGACCCTGGGGCCATAAAATTCATAATTTTGTAAGAGGCATTCTTGCTCATTATAACTATATACTTAGTTAGTTTTTTTAATACCCACGAGCAAAGAAGAAGATTTTTAAAGAAATAATGCATCTTCACTATATAATCAATAGAGCCCCACCCTAACACCAGAACCCCTGACCCTGGGGCCATAAAATTCACAATTTTGTAAGAGGCATTCTTGCACATTATAACTATGTTCTTAGTTAGTTTACTTTATACCCAGGAGCAGAGAAGATTTTTTAAGAAATAATGCATTTTCACTATATGTTCCATAGAGCCCCGCCCTAGCACTAGAATCCCTGACCCTGGGGCCATGAATTTCACAATTTTGGTAGAGGACTCATGGGTCATTACATTCATGCTAACAGTTTGACTGCTTGATGTCCAGGAGTAAAGAACAAGATTTTTAAAGATTGCATTAATTTTAGTGGTTTTGGCCCCACCCCTCAGGCCCCCGGGGGGGGGCAGGGACCATGAAAATCAAAATTTTTGTTTGCCTTTACCCATAGATGCTTTATGCCAAATTTGGTGGAAATTGGTTGAGTGGTTGCAGAGAAGAAGCTAAAAATGTTGACGAACGACGCACACCGCACGACGACGGACAATAACAGATAGCAATAGGTCATATAGCATACAGTCAGGCACATGAATACTTGTATTTTTACTTACATATAGTTGTTTGTTGTTATTTTTACAATTTTAATTTTGGACTCATGTACTAGGGATATCATATCTTTAGCAGAATTGTGCCACTGAATTAAAGGGAACTCTTTTTTAGGTGCGCGTGATGCAACTTCCTGGATGGTGCGTAGGCTGTTTGTCAACATCTGAAACCCACGTGTATTTCGGGGTAGGTAAAGCCGCATAAGGGGTATTTTTTCTGATCTCAAATTTTCGTCTAAGCATTAATCTTTATTTTCTATTTCATGAATTATCTGCTGAGAGTCTAGTTAATTAATTAATTTAATTAAAGCTGTATAGTAACATATAGTGAAATTATTTCCTTGTGTGAGACCTTAACTAAATGGTTAAACAAATTAAGAACAGTCTCCGAGATTTATAAGACGATAAACTTGCCATGCTTCTTTTTCCCCGAATGACTGATACTTGTCTGACGATGTACAGAAGAGTTGTGGCTAGGACCCGGAGGTTGCTCTCTGCCAGTCCTGTGTACCTCTCTAAGGACAGCAGGCGATACTCCACCGGCTTTAGGAGAAGCTGAAAGGAAGACATTCTCGTAATCCCATTACAGAAAAATATGAGAATTGATTATTTAATAATTCTAGATAAATATTTCTCAGTAAACTGCTTCTTTTCGCTCTAGCTTTATTCCGATCGGCGTTAAGTAATGTCCTCGCCTATTGGACAATCTTTTCAAAGCCGATTTGTTGATAAGCGGAGTTAAATCAAATGTAGCATAGAATCACGAAATACGTACAGTTATAAATATATTTTAAGTTTGTACTATTTATTCAAATGGAAACTTTACACCTTCAGTCCCCGAACTATATAATATTATTATGTATGTCCATGTTAAAATGACAGGTTAACATAAACGATTAAATGTTCTTTGTGTGTCGCCTGAGGAGCAGAGCGGCACTAAGGGATCACTTTACCCGGCGTCTGTCTGTTCGTCCCTCTGTCTGTCAGTCACATCTTGTATCTCAAGAACTGCAAGAGATATGGACTTAATATTTTGCAAATTTATTGCTTGGCACTATAGCACTTGTAACTTGCCATTGTTACCGACCTCGTGACCCCTGACCTTGTCCTGTGACCCACTTTACTAATTAATTAGAAGTGCCAATATTCAACATACTTTGACATTCAAAAGATAATTCTAGGCTTTTTAGCATGTGCACTGATTGTCATAAAACATGAAAAATACAGAGTTGCAATCCATTTCACCTTGACCATCGACCTACTTCACTAAGAATACCCCTGAGAGTTTAATTTAAGACATGGATTTTGAGTGGCGTGGTATTGATAATTATTATTTATACATATTTAGGAGCTCATAAATGTAATACTGTTCTTTGAAACTGTATGATAATTCGGTTACCACAGAGATATTTAAATTGCCATGGTTACCAATCTCGTGACCCTTGACCTTGTCCTACTTTACTAAATAATTTAAAGTGCCAATACATTTTTGACATTTAAAAGATAATTCTATGCTTTTTAGCATGTGCATTGATTGTCCTAAAACATGACAAATACCAACGTTCATTTCATTTCATCTTGACCTTTGACCTATATTTTAAAAAGAATACCCCGAACAGTTTAATTTTAACTTTAGACTTATTAAATGTGAGTTGCTTGGTGTTGATAATTCACATTTATACATATTTATGAGCTCATAATACTGTTCTTTGAAATTGTATGATATGTAGTTACCAAACAAACTGATCTTTAAATAATTACTATGAAAATTCATCGGGATCGGGATCCCACAACAGATTGTGTGGAGTGACAATTGGTGTAAAGACTTTGAAACACGTATTAAAATACAATATGTAAAATAATAAATAATTATTATTTATAATAATTTCAACTTAATTATTCATTTGAGGGTTGGAAATAATATTTTCTTTGATTGACAGACTTTATTGCAGTTTTATACAAGGCCTATTTGTTTTTGATGCATTCATCATGCTAGATTTCTTTTTCTTTTTTGCATGAAATACTGTATATGCTGTTAGCATATAAATAGCTGGCCACTCTTAGATTTAGTATCATATTTAAAGAAGCTAAAAGCAGGCGACACGTGCGTTCCTTGGAACACTCTAGCTTTTTGGCAGGTGCGTGACTTGTCTATATTAGGGGCTGTAGAAAGCTAGATTTCTTGGAATTTGGCTATAAAATTAATACATGAAGACGAAATGGAGAAGTGTTATTAGCTCCGCTTTCTGCAATTTGATTGCACGGCGGTTTGTCAAGTATCGTGTTTATACCTAGTGACCCGTTGTCATGTACAGGTTTTTTTTTTATTTTCAACTAATCTGCATTCAGGAAGACGGCCAATGAACGAAAATGTTAGCCTTAAGGAAAGAACGATGGATAGCTCAGAACCTTACGTTATGCCAAAAGCATTACCCGAGTGAAAAGTATCATATCTACCAAATCTGATTGTGATTCTGTTTCAGCTTCCCTAAATCCACGTATCACCGAGAAATTTATTCAGTCTGACAATTGGTGCTTAAACAAATGAAAAAAAATGTCTTACCGTGGTCCCCGTGCTTACCGTGGTTATTAAGCCTCTAGTGATGAACATTCCTATAAGTAACATGAACGCCTCTCCATCCCCTACGTTAACAGTCCTCATGTTGTCATCGAAGTGTAGTCTTTCCTACCAATCAACGAGGTAGAGGACTAAAGTTGCTTAAATAGTCACTTAAAAAGATTCTCATAATACCAACGTTTAATTGGGACTTTGGCTGGGAATGTTCCATTATGAGAAACTAGAGGAACTGTGAGCAATGAGCTCACTAAATGATACCCCCCGCCTCCCATATGAATAAAATGGCAGTGTCCATGTTTTGCTCTGGAAAATCCAAAATATATGTCAGATCAAAAAGTAAAATAGGAGGTGCACAATGGCAATATATAATAAAGATTCTGTGAAAGTTTCATTAAATTTCATTCAGTGGTATGAGAGGAGTTGCGGATAAGAGATGGGTACCCCAAAGCGTAACAGACGGACGGACAGGCGGACGGACGGACGGACGTACAGACGGACGGAATTAACGATTACTATATACCCTCCCGCTTTTCAAGCGGGGGGTATAAAAATATACATTTTGCTTATTTGCAACAAATCCAGGATTTCCTGTCAATAATGAATGTAACCCTAACTCGGAATGATTTCTTTCTCATTCTTTTTTCGCTTTTATTACATTCCAGATTAACATTTTCTTTTCTTTTCTTTTTTTTTTCTTTTTTTTTTGTAATTAAAATGACACAACCTATTGAAAAAAATTGAAGCGGGAATATGTTATATTTAAATCGGGAAATTTGATTTATTTTTTTAAAATTTGAACAGTTTTTGCAAGAAATCAAAAAAAAAAAAATTGCCATTTATTGAAAGAACACAATTTTAAATGTATATTTATCGCAGTTTTTAAATTATTAGATAATTCCAAATGTATAACATAATTTAAAAATTATTTGATGGTTCGTATTAAACTTAATCAAACTTCTTTAGAAAAAACAGAAACAAAATATTCTTTAGGGAAAAGTTGCCATTTTTGGCATCGAAAAATATATTTATAGATGTCGTTATAACATCTTGGGTTTTCAATCATTTATTTGCTATAATTATTTTATAGCAATTACGGCTTTTCGTTAAATATTTGTATTATTCAAAAGACATGTATCTCAAAACGTTGAATATTTTACTTCATTTCGGGACATCTGGTTGAACATTGTGCAAATTAAAACTGAAGCCACCTACAATTTCTCGAGCAGTGAAGCCCCGCTAAAAACCATTAAAATATAGAAAGACGATTAATTTATTAAGTTTACATAAGTATATTTTATCTTGCAGTAAACCTTATAGCACAAATATTATGATAGTAATTTACACTGTACTTTGACGCAACTATTTAACATATCGTATATCCTGCATTGTGTAAACCCATTGCTATTTTTAAAAGGAACTTTTTCTTTTCAATATTAATATACAAGTTAGCTGGATATTTTGGATACCGTTTATATATAATTAGATCGACTAAGTATTCCAATGAAATAACCCTGCTGCTCCTGATAGCCACTTTTCTATATGTAAAATTGAGTGCATATCATACATGGCTTTAGTTTAATTACTATATACATGTACAATTAAGTCCGTGTCACACTGTCACGATTTTTGCTTCGATTCCACACGACTTACAAAAACCATAAATCGCCGACAATCGCCACGCTAGCCTAGCATTTTTTTGACAGAGGGTGATTTTTTTCAGTGTGTCACGATACGACAACGATGTCCGCTCAACAATTTACGAGACTTATACGATAACAGAAGTTTTGGCGAGTTATGTACGAACAAAGACGATCACATATCGAGATCGAGAGAGAGAGAGAAATTCTTAAGCATAATTTCAAAGTTGTATAATTATGGCAGTAGCTACCTTAGGGAGGCTTCATCTACTGCAATATTTGGGGGAACTTGAACAGAATATTGCAGAAAACGCAACTGCCCATTTATTACACAACAGGAGTCCACACAGGCAAAGAAGATACTGAATAAGACCATGGATCACCAGACGTACTCAGTATGGATATTTTGATCGCTTCATGAAAGAACCTGAAACGGAGATGTATTGTCATTCAAAAACTTCCTCAGAGTAGAGCCAGATATGTTTAGACAGCTTGTAGACAGATTGTGTCCCAAATTACAAAAACAAGACACATGGTTCAGAAAGGCTTTGGAACCTGGATTAACTTCGGTATTTAGCAACTGGAGAGTCATACACAAGTCTGATGTACGGATTTCGAGTTCCACATAATACAATTTCCTTGCTGGTTCGTGAAGTTTGTGAAAGTATAATAGCGAAATATGCTGATGAAGTAATTGCATTTCCAACAACTACAGATGAGTGGCAACAGATAGCTGAGCAGTTCAGAAATAGATGGAACCTGGACCATGTCCTTGGTGCTTTGGATGGGAAGCATATTGCTATGAAATGACCCCGAAACGGAGGTTCACTTTATTACAACTACAAAGGGTTCCACTCTCTCATCCTAATGGGGCTTGTTGATGCTGATTATAAATTCATTTGGGTTGACGTAGGTGCAAATGGATCTGCATAGATGCTACTGTGTTTAACAACTCAGAATTAAAAGATGTCATCGAAAATCAAAATATTGGATTTCCGGAAGGTGCCCCTCTACCAAATGATAACAGAAACATCCCGTATTTCATCGTGGGTCATGACGTCTTCCCTCTCAGGACATGGCTTATGAAACCTTTCAAGAAGGACTTTGACCAATGAGGAGTGTATATTCAAGTATAGACTCAGCAGAGAAATGCGCGTTGTAGAAAATGCATTTGGGATACTTGCCAACAGACGACAATGCCTCTTAGCTCCAATGCGCCAAGAACCAGACACTATTTCATCTATTGTATTAGCATATTGCTGTCTTCATAATTTGATGCGAATGAGATTTCCAAGTCTCCAAAACGAAAATCTTTATCAGGAGGATCTAAATCATCACGTGGTTCCGGGAGCTTGGAGAGATTGTGCAAACCTTACAGATTTGAATGGCGTTGGTGGATGCAATCGAGCAACTATAGCAGCAAAGACAGAGGCTGTACCCAGAGGCTGTACCTAAAGCACTACTACAATTTACCCGTTGGGGCGGTTCCCTTGCAGAATGACATGATATGATACTATGATTTCAAGATTTGTATGCGTGTTCTGATGATTCTGCTGACAACCGTTTTATTGTAAATGTACTCTATTGTAAATGAATCAGGATATTGTTTTCAATTTATCGTGTATAGATAAACGTGAAGCATCGGACAATGTTAATACTCATTCTCTGAAAAAAAACTAGAAATAAAACAAACTTGAAATACAAACACTCGTAATAACATTTACTGACGATGAACAACTAAATCACATGAACATTTACATGTAGATCAGGATAAGTAACTTTAATGATAATCATTACAGTACAATGTACTTTGTAAAGAAAATAAAAATAACATAAAAACACCAATCATGACTTAGAATGATCCATTCAGTGAATAAGGAGCAATTACAAATGAGCAAATCTAAAAAAAAAGTTTGATTTGTTTCTTAAGAAAAGGAACCTTCACAATTCTGAGTGTTATAATATATATTATTAATTTTCGACATGAAGGCTAGATTTAACACAACGTATTTCTGACTGAAGGTTGTTTAGAAATGAACTAATGTGGAAGGAGTTTGAGGACGATCTTGGAGTTGACTGAACCTGTTGTTGTTTGTTATAACGAGGCTGTGGTGTGTCCCAGTTAATTGGTGAAAACCGCCACAACTTTGTCGTTGTTCTTTACTTGCTCTTTGCTGTTGCTGAAATGATGATATACCTCTCGGATTTGAGGCTTGTGCTCTTTCTCGTCGTATTCTGTTCGACTCCAAATAATACCATAGGGGACTGTCGAAAGAATGACGAAGATATTGTTCCCACAAGTCGTCATGAATATAAGGAAGCATGGTTCCCATATAATTTGTCCAAGCTGTGCGGGGATTATCTGCTGACTTGACAAGCTCGTCAATTCTGTTCTGCAGTGTTTTTGACTGCGTTATCCTCTCATTAAGTTGAGCTAACATGTCCGAATCTCTGATTTTGTTTTCTTTTTTGCAGTTCGTGCCTTCATGCTTGGCAAGTTTGTAGAGCTCGGATCTTTAGTGACAGTGGAAGAGCTACACGGTTGATTTCCTTGATCGCCTTCCTCATTTTCGATTTCCACTTCACTATCGACCGCCTAAGTGTGTCAGGTCTATTTGAGCTGTCAAGGCACAATTTTGTCTACATTTTGTAATGATACGTACACTTACAGCTTCTCTACTGATTACACAAACTATGGCCGGATATATGGAACGCCATCACTGCCTTATAGCATACAACTATGCATTTATTATATCAGTTTATAATTACGTGATGTGAACATATCTTTACGTTATGTCCATTTTTTATGAGATGATGTAAATATATCTCAACATGATGTCAATGCTGCATTACATAAAGTAAATACATCCTTTCATTATGTCAGCACTTCATAACTTGAAGTAAAAAATTCATTATGTGAAGTGATAATGTGTTTACATTGTGTTAAAACTTTATTACCTGAAATGAATGTTTCTTTACATCATTTCATTTCTTTAATATGTGAGGTCAAAATTGCATTACGTCAAGTAAATTGTGTTTTATAATTAAACTTATCATTACATGAAGTCAAAAGCCCATTCCTTTTTGAGAGTGTATATTTCTATTATATCAAAGCATTACTACGTGATATGGATTTATCTTTATTTTACGGCGAGGGCATCATGATGTGAGGTGAACACATCTTAACTTTATGTCAGTGCTTTATTACGTGGTGTAAAAAGTGTATAACATAATGTGAACATAAGATACAAGATACAAGATACAAGATTTTATTAATCCAATTTGGGCCCCCGGAGGAGCAAAAAGATTTACAAATAGAAGGAGGAGGATCCAAATGATAGAACAAACATGATGATGATATTACAAATAAAGAGCAATTGTTAAAAAAAACAAAAAAAGTATATAAGAGATATACTGAATATACATACATGTATTGTATTGTAAGTTACATACAAATATATATAATTTATACATATATATATTATATATATATATATATATATATATATATATATATATATATATATATATATATATATATATATATATATATATATATATATATATATATAGTTAAGGGCAAGAAACTGGGAAAGAGGTATATAATTTTTTATGCTTATCACAATATCTTCAATTAAGGTAAATTACTAAGGAATGCAGCAAGTGATCTAAGGATGTCTGGGTCTTCATTAGTCATGAGCCAATAAAATTGATTATCATAAGATAGAGATTGAAAATTTTTACATTTAATTTTACAAATATTTATGAGTTCAAGTCTTTGTACATTAAGATGAGGACATACAAGGAGAAAATGAATTTCATCCTGAATCTCGTTGTGATGACAAAGTGAACAAATTCGTTCCTCTCTAGGTATTTTTTGGTAACGTCCAATTTCAATTTTAAGCCTGTGAGCCGATATTCTTAACTTTGTTAAAACTGATCTATGTTGATTGTTTGTAAGAATATCTAGATAAGGTTCAAAACAAAATTTAGTCTTTATGCTGGTAAAGGTAGACAATTTGCCATCTTTATGTAAATTCCTGTCTTTTTCCCATTTTAATTTATAGAAATTCAGTAATATTCTTTTCAAATTGGTTTTAAATTGTGGGGTTGACATACCTAGGAAATCACTAATTTTAATATCAATATGGTTAAGTAAGAAGTTAACACAAGAATACCATGAAGTAAAACCATTTTGGTGTAGTGTTTTAGAGCAGTTAAAAGCCTCACTAAGCAAGGGAAATTCACCATCTAGATTCTCTAATCTATGCCAGTATAACAACATATTTTTAATGACATCAAAATGTAAATTCAAACGTCCTAGCTCTATCTTTACATATCTTTATATTATATCAATACTTTATTACATTATGTCAAAACTCCATTCCGTGATGTGGATATATAATTACGTTATGTCAACTCTTTCTTATGTGAGTTAAAAATATCTTTATATTGTGTTAACTCTTTATCATGTTGATTCCAAAAGTTCATTACCTGATGTTAAAATACATTTACATTATCTCAAAGCTGTATATCTAGTATATAATGAATGTTGACGACCGTGTGTTAATGACTGGTAAGAAGGGGGGGGGGGTTCCTGATTGATTAGGATAAATTACAGGCACATAATATCACACACACCCCCTCTTTTCCCAGACATAACTTTACTATAGAAAATGTAATGTTCATTGAAACTGTACAGCCCCCCCCCCACTTCTTGTTGAAGTATAGTCCACTAAGGGTAATGTAATATATCTGGGAAAAAATGGGACTGATTGAAGTTGGACCCCTCTCCCCGAAATAGGATTTTCGGGCTTGGACTTTTTTTTCTTGGCTTGTCAAGTTTTTTGTGTAAATGATTTTTTTTCTGGCTGACCTCCTCTTTCAAAAAAAGATGCTACGTCACTGGAGTTAGTATTTTTTTTTAATCATTCCAGGGCCAGAATTCTATTACAAAAACTACCAGTCGCTCATCTAAATCAATTGAATATGCCTTAGTAAGCATGCATGGGCACATTTCAGTGGCAGATATGGGAATCTTGAACAAGGAAGGGGGGGCGGTATATGGCTGGAGACCAGGACGGAAAGCGGAGAAGCTCTCAGGCTTTATAGTTTTATACAAAAAAGTTTTCAACTTAATTCAGCTAAACTTAATGTGAAACTAATGCAATGTCCTACAAAGTTTAAGACTTTTATAAAAAAAAAAAAAAAAAAAAAAAAAAAAAAGTTCAAAATAAAAAGAAAAAAAAATGATTGCTGCACGACTCATAATATTTGATTTATTTAATTATCAGATACAAGTAAACACCATTGAATTTCGACGTGACTTTAATTCACAGTCGCAGTGTAAAGGCTTTGCATGTTTCAAACTGTCAATCATTTGTCGCTTAAAGTTTTCATTTAAAGATGTCATTCCGAAATCGCTGAGAATCTCTTCTACGACAGTTTTCTCTCCCGCCATTTTTTAGTTCTTGCGGAACGCGGAAAATACGTTATGCTCATATAAAGGCCGAGGATGCCCGTGTTCGCATAACGTAATAGTGAATCGACATAATGTAGAAGAGTGCGCACAGTATGGTATGAGCTTTTCACATCAGTTAATAAAAACTAAGATTGTCATGAAAAGTAAACATAACGAAATGCAAGTTGACGAAATAAAATTGTAGTATGTGTAAATGTCATGAAGAGTTGACATAATGTAAAGGAAAGTTAACACAATGCAATAGTAGTGTGGGTTAATGTCATAAAGAGTTGACATAATGTAATGGAAGGTTGACACAATGCAATAGTAGTGTGGGTTAATGTCATAAAGAGTTGACATAATGTAATGGAAGGTTGACACAATGCAATAGTAGTGTGGGTTAATGTCATAAAGAATTGACATAATGTAATGGAAGGTTGACACAATGCAATAGTAGTGTGGGTTAATGTCATAAAGAGTTGACATAATGTAATGGAAGGTTGACACAATGCAATAGTAGTGTTCTGCTATAAGGCAGTGATGGCGTTTCATACGGATAGAAAAGAAAATGACTATTTGACCCATTTGTCTCTTTCAGTAAGTTCCTTACGGCCGTCACCTGATTTCGTTCGTTGAGACAATTTTTCTATATATTCTGCGCATGCTTTTATACCAGATTTGTAAATCTTCCACTTAAAAGAATACATGCAAAAGTGTAATGTAAATTAACAAAAAAAATTGTGTTAAGAGTGTAACAATTTTCTCAGAATGGATTATTTAATATAAAATTCATGCCTAGAACATCCATTTCTTGAGCCCTCTCCTGCCAAAGGCGCTGCTTTTTCTGTGTATCTTTGTATTCTTTTGATTCTTTATTGTAAAATATAGGGTGGTTCTTAAGCCATTCCACAAGGTCTGCCTCTTGTTCCTCACAGAAATTGAGGTTCTGTCGCCGCTTTTTTGTAACGTTTCTGATTCTTGTGGATGTGGTTCTTCTGGAACTGGAGTCAAGTCACCATGTTCTTCAATTTCAGAATTACATGTCTTTTCAGTTTCTTTTTGCATTTTCTTCCCCTTTCTTCTTGGCGGCATTTTGATTTTTGACAGGAAAATCAAGATAACTTCTTTTATGGTCTACGCGTACCATCGTACTTTTTCGCAGTTCACTCGCACGGTAATTGCATTGCACTCGCCGTCAATCGCCTGTATTCGTATCATATGCATGTATATTCACATGAAATCGTACGACATTCCTTCTGAGTCGAGAAACACTCGCAAAAACTCGTGGGACACTCGCAATAAATCGTAGGAAACTCGCAGAGTCGGAAGTTCTACGAATTTCTTTGAATGTCCCACGAACGTTGAAGATTTACAACGATTATGTGTACGAGTGTATTGCGATTGCTGTACGATCACTTACGGATAATTAATCAAAGTACTCAGAATACAGAGAGCCGGGCTCATTTACAGAGTAGAATGGATTTCTTACATGAATCACGTTTATATTCTGATGAAAAAATTATTTTAAAACTATCAATATGAATGATAAGACACTGACAGTGAGTTTTTCAATCCTAATACCACGGTCCGATTTTGTCAGAATCAGAATTAATCTGGTACCGCAGCTGAATGTAAACAAACAGGCCAGTCTGGTTCCCTCTCCTACTTTACCTCGTATGTGTAGAGAACTACGGTAACACTGATTATCAAAATCCTTACGCTAATGAACTATGTTCTTTGACTTATGAAGTTTTCAAAGTCATTACAACAAATGTTTATTTTATAAAGATAAAACTTCGTTTTATTTTTGTTGTTTTATTTAGCGTTTGTATTATCTCAAAAGCGGTTGAGAGTAAGAACTATATTTTTGCACGTAACTTTAAAATGGCGACTATTGGGTTAACATCCTGCCTTGAACAGGATCACATAAGCTGGCAATTGCTCTTTGAGCAATAAGCCTGGCTAAAAACCGTACTGTGGCCACGATTGTTTTGAACATGCTCAAAACAATCGCCGCGTTTGGCGATTTGCTGCGATGAAACACGAGTTAAGAAGATATACTACGACTATCTCGAAGATGATCGCCGAATTACTGCGATTTTTTAACTTGTACTTTGTCGTAGCCAAAAATCGTGACAGCGTGAAACGGGCTTTATGGACTGTCTAGAAGGGAGACATCACCAATTATCAGGTCTGAGTAGGATTTTCACCCGAGGGCGCCTTCATAATTATACAGTCAATCTGATTGGTTTAGAGCATGACACCTGAGGTGTGACAATTCGTGATGTCTCCCTCACGCGCAGGGTGACAACTGTTGTCACCCTTCAGATGAAAATGAAATAGAGAAGCGAGCATGCAGGGTTACAGCTGTGTTGTCGCCCTTTAAATGAAAATACAAGGGTTTAAGCAAGGAAACTCTTATTTATAATTATGCATGTACATCTATTGCTAAATACATGTATATGCGGGATCGGTAAACAATAAATTCCAAAGACGACGTCAAAGTTTTCTGTTGACATATTTTGAAAGTATGGACTCAGAGCAGAGAAGGAGAACACAAGAAGTTTGATAATTATTTTCTTCTCTATTTAATTGATAATTTAGATTCCTCAGGATAGTAAAACTATTGTGGACTGTTGAGAAGGGAGACATCACCAATTATCAGGTCTGAGTCTGGTTTCAACCTCGGCCGCAAGCGGCCACGGGTGACAACCTTACTCAGACCTGATAACTGGTGATGTCTCCCTTCTAAACAGTATCAGGCACAAGCGCCCTCTGGTGACAACCCTACTCAGAGCTGATAAATGGTGATGTCTCCCTCCTAAACAGTCCTTAATTGTATATGTACATTATATTAGGCTATAATGTAACGTTCTTATGATATTTTAAGAAATTGAAACGCTATCATTTTTCCTACTCACCAGTTCGCACTGCAAAAAATACCCATCAGGGAACGTGTTGCCCTCCCTTATCAGTTCGTATATCCCTGACGATTTGTAGCTTGTGCCCAACAAACCTTTTGGAGGCTTCCAATAAAAAATACAACGCAAATGAAAAATAAACAAGATGTTCATGGGCCACAGTGCTCACCTGAGTAAATTCATCTTTACCAGATTCCCCCTTTGTAATACCTCATGTGTCCCCGGCCTACCCCCGGTGATCGTAATTTGACCAATTTAGAATCTACAATGGCAAAAGGTGCTTCCATATAAATTTAAGTTTTTCTAGCCCAGTGGTTCTTGAGAAGAAGATTTTTAAAGAGTTTTCCTTTATATTTCAATGTAAAACTTGGATCACCTATTGTGACCCTCGCCTATCCCGGGGTCATGATACGAGCAATTTAGAATGTACACTACCCAAGGGTCGCCTGCATGGCGCAGTGGTTAGAGCGTCTGCTCTAGAGTCACGAAATAAGGAGTCGACCTTTATGTCGCGGGTTCGAATCCGACTGTAGGACGTGGAGGCCGGTCCTTCGGATGAGACAGTATAAACCGAGGTCCTATGTCACAGTAGGTGCTGGCACGAAAAAGACCCCTCCCTGCTCAAAGGTCCTGAGTGCCGAGTATTAAACAAAATTTGCAGCTCTCCACCGACAAAAGGTGGCGTCTCCATATGAGTGAAAAATTCACGAGGGGGACGTTAAACAGAATACAATCAATCAATCACTACCCAAGGATGCTTCCAAATAAAATTCAGCCTTTCTGGCCCAGTGTTTTTAGAGAAGATTTTTAATGAGTTTTCCTTTCTCGTAAAACTTGAATTCCTTTACTGTGGTCCCGCCTTATCCCTAGGGGTCATGTTTTGACCAATTTAGAATCTACCCTACTCAAGGATGCTGCCATATAAGTGTTCTCGAGAAGATTTCAAAAGAATTTTATAAATTTCTACGTAAAACCTCGATTTCTTATTGTGGCTCCGCCCTACACTCTGGGGGTCATGATTTGAAAAATTAGGAATCTACACTACCGAATGATGCTTGCACATAAGTTTAAGCTTTTGTGGCCCAGTGGTTCTTGCAAAGATTTGTTAATGAACCCACCGTATTTTTGTTATTTCTTGATTACTAGTATCTCCCCTTGTAGGAGGGACATGGCCTTCATTTTAACTCCCCCCTTAAAGTAAGCATTCTTAGTACCAAGTTTGGTTAAAATTAACCTTAGTGGTTCTTGAGAAGAAGTTGAAAATGTCGAAAGTTTACAGACAGACGGACCAACAGACAGACGGACGGATGATGGACAATTGGTGATCAGAAGAGCTCACCTCTGAGCTTTGGTGAGCAAATATCGTGTTGCCGTGTGAAAAAAAAACCTTGTTCAAAGTTGTTTAGATAATCAAAAATTTATGTTTTACTTGGAAGGTACATGTTGTAATTAATGGGAGAGAGAGAGAGAGAGTCACCATTATCCCGGTTACTTCATATATGATGTTTTCAACAGCATACTCTAGTTGAGAAGAAATGCTCTTTGCTTCAGAAGTACTGCATCCACTGATGAGAAGTTCAAGTTCGTAGGATTCGGGATGTGTGAGGTCATTCAGAACATCAGACACTTTGCCTGTTGGCTGATTCCATTTCCAAAAAGATCAGAGTAGATTGAATGAAAAAAAATATATTTAATTCATGAAATGTTGCATAAAATGTAAGCGACTTACGTTCAGGTAGAGCCTATGAAGTTCTGCCAAAGTGGTCTTGATGACCCCATGAAAATGGCGAAGACTTAACGCTCTGGAGATGTTTCTCTGAAATTTACCCCAAACATACATTTCATTTTTACTAATTGTCTTCTTGCTGGATGGATATAAAGACTGTCCTTCATCATTACAAGCCTCTCTCAACATTTTCTAAATCTATATCTTTTCCATTCTTAGTCTCGCTATTTTTGTCACTTGTTTCATATATCTCCATATGTTTCATTTCACAAAAATCTATAGACAAATTACAGACAGACACATACCGGATACGCTATATTAAGAAATATTTCAATAAAGAAATGGGATGAAAAGTGTTGAAACCTTCTTGAGTTAATCAGATCTAGAGTTCTACTAAAATCAGAAATGTCAGGCACGTGTTTATACTTACGTCATCTTGAACAGCGGGTGAACTCCTCTCTCTATTAAAAAGATGTAGAGCTAATGTGGTACTAAACATGTAATCACCGTTATTTCAATAAATACCGCGTCTCTCTATATCTCTCTCACGCATACATACCCATTCACTTACCACACACACACACACAAACTTACGTGGTGGTACTAGCCCCACTGCCCATGATCTTCATCTGTTCATATAACACCCAGCGTTGTGATTGAGAAGTGTTCAATTTCCAGTGTTTACTTTTTGTTTGGTAAATTGAAAATTTCTACTTAATAAAGAAACAAAAAATGAGAAATTTGCTTGTGCGAATGCACATCACTTAAAATAGACTTCGCAGAAAAATATGTACAAAAAAAAAAAACAAAAAAAAAAAAAAAAAAAAAAAAAAAAAAAAAACAGCTTACCGTTTATGAAGTTTAGGAAATCAATAGTTCATGTTGGTTACTTTGTGTTCAAATGTACCTCGCTTTGTCGTTTATGAAAACAATCAAAATTAAACCTTTCGATGCGCTTGTCATGTTTTCTATTCATCTAAAATCGCTCTACTGTGGTTTTCGCTGTTAATGAATTTAAAATGTTCACTGTTAAATTATTTTTATTTTATTGTTAGATTATCGTAAAGCATGGCTGTGTATAGGATCAAATTATGTCTGATGAAACTTTTGAAAAGAAAATCACGACTGAAAAAGATGAATTAATGCTCAATTAATAGATTTATATAAGCCTAGCTAACACATGGAAAAATATCTTCATCATTAACGTGAAAGAACTTAAAGTAATTTATAGCAATTCATCAGGATTATTTATAGAAGTACATTGGCTTAAAAACAAGACTACAAAAGAAGATTCACATTTAAAAAATAGCAATGCTTAGCGAAGCATCATTTCGCATCGGGGCAGAACTTCACACTCAGGTAGTGTCTTCACACTCCGAGGTAGTGGCAGTGTATTCTAGAGGGACGTTAAAAAAGATAAAATCTTCTTGTTATAAAGGGAACCCAGTAATACTTCATAAAGTTTGAAATAAAGTAAAGAAAGTAAAATGTATTGCAGCACTAACAAGCAAATTCAAAGAATTGTGGTCCCCCGCTTTCGGTGTCTTAGTGGGTGAGGTGTCATTTTTATGATATATTTTGTTAAATATGAACGCCCTATCATATGTCAATCAGAAATTATCACCTAAGTTGAATTTTATAAAATAAGGTCAATGGTCAAGGCCAAGGGGTTAAAAATCATGGCATTTTCGGAAATATCTTGTCACAGGTAATGCACATGTCAAATATGAAATCCCTATCTCTTCTCAATCAAAAGTTATAAGGAACAAGATGTGTTTGTGAAACACTGATGCCCCCGTATGACAACATAGCGAAGATTAAACTTTTTCTTAAATGCAAATTAAATATGTTGGTACCCATAGTAGGGTCTTCTCACAAGAAATATGATTGTAAAATATGAAAGCCCAAGCACCACCTGTTGAAACGTTATGGACAAGGATAATTTTTTTGAAAGTTAGGTCAAACTCCAAGGTAAAAGGGTCAAAGTTGTCGGTTTCTTAAGAAAGGTCTTGTCACAAATATTACAAAAGTGAAGTATGAATGAAAGCCCTAGCCATTACTGTTAAAATGTTATGGCCAAGGTTAAAATTTTCAAAAAGTAGGTCAAACTCCAGGGTCAAAATTCTTGATATTTAATGAACGGTCTTGTCAAAAGAATTAAATATGTAAAGTATAAAACTCCTAGCCCTTCTTAAGTTATAGTAAAGGTTTGTTTTTTAAAAGTAGGTCAAACTCAAGGGGTCAAAGTTGTTGGTATCCAATGAAAGAAATTCTCACAAGGATTACATATGTTAAGTGTGAAAGCCGTAGCCATTACCGTTCAAAAGTTATGGACAAGGATAAAGTTTTTAAAAAGTAATTCAAACTCCAAGGTCAAAGTTCTTGATATCCAATGAAAGGTCTTTTCAAAAGAATTAATAAAAGAACAAGATGTGTTTGTAAAACACTGATGCCCCCGTATGGCAACATAAGGTTTAGCTTTCTCAAATGCAGATCAAATATGTTGATATCTAAAGCAAGGCTTTTTCACAAGAAAATCAAAAGTGAAATATAAAACCCCAGCACCACCTGTTCAAAAGTTATGGCCAAGGTTAAAGTTTGTAAAAAGTACATTGTAGGTCAAATACTAAGGTCAAAGTCAAAGGGTCAAATGTTTTGATATCCAATGAAAGGCCTTGTCACAAGAATTAAATTTGTGAAGTATGAAAGTCCTAGCACCCTCCGTTTAAAAGTTATGGCCCAGGTTAAAATTTTTTCTTTCGTCAGTACGGAAATCTCAAAGTTCAAGATCAAAAGGTCAAAAGTGTTCATTTAAAATGAAAGGTCTTGCCATAAAGAATTGATAAATTAATATTTGAAATATGAAATTCCTTGTATATACCGTTTTAAAATTAAGGTCAAAGTAAATGTTTGGATTTTTTGTGTAAAAATGGGTCAAACTTAAAGGTCAAGGACAAAGGGTCAATGTTATTGATACCAGATGAAAGCTCTTGTCACAAGGATTAAATATGTGAAGTATTAAAACCCTAGACATAATCCTTCAAAAATTATGGTCAAGGCTGTCAAACTCCAAGGTCAAGGTGTCAAATTCTTTGGTATCCAATGAAGCGTCTTTTCACAAGGACTACATATGTGAAGTATGAAAGCCCAACCCTTTACCGTTCAAAAATATGGCCAAGGTTAAAGTTTTTCATACGTACGGAGATCTCCAAGATCAAGGTCCCAAGGTCAAAGTTGTTGGTATTCAATGAAAGGTCTTTACAAAAAAATACATAGTTGAAGTATATAAGTCCTGGTATTTACTGTTCAAAAGATATGGCCAGAGTAAAAGTTAAGAATTTTTTTTGTAAAAGTGGGTCAAACTCCAAGGTTAAAAGATCAAATTTGGTGATACCCAAAGGTCTTGTCACAAGGAATATACATGTGAAATATGAAAGTCACAGGTCCACTAAATCAAAAATTATCGGCAAGGTTAAAGTTTTTGCGGACAAACAGACAAACAAACAGACAGAGAGACAGCTAGACAGACAGACGGACGGACACGACAACAACTATATACCCATGAAACTTCGTTTATAGGGGCATAATGAAGTTGTAACTGTAAAGTAAGTTTACATTTCTTTTGGAAAAAAATCTTACAAATAATGTTTCACATGCATAAAAAAAATTACATGAAGCTGTAAATAGCATCATATGTACATGATGTATGTGCTAAATAATAGAGAAGTTACATCTTATGGACTAAAGAACCGGGGGAGGGGTATTTTGCTTAGTTGTGCCCTAAAACTGAAAATGATATCGCGAGTTCGGATCAGGAGTAACCTATTTGCAACAGGTTCACGCAGTTTACTTGCGTAAAAAGAAAGATAACTCTTATTATATATTATAAATTAACTTATGATTTATACTCTGTCAATAGTCTACACGAACTCCTAAATCGAACCACAGGGGCATCTTATCCACTCTGTTCTCCACTTCACATGCATGCATTTTTATATGTGAAGTAGAGAACAGGAGATATGATGCCCCTGTGATCAAACCCTTCTTTGGTTCCTTATACATTTCGCTTTTGGACTCTGCGACCGTGTACAGGTACATGTAGTTGGAGCTAATGTTTTCTTTTCACCCTCTGTGACCCTCACAATTTTCATGATATAAAAAATGCATAAAGAGCAAGAGCCACTTTGTGCCTTATTTGGCCCTGAGAATTTCTGAAAAATCCAAACCGCTCTGTTTAGGTTGCAAATGCAGTATATATCACTTGAAGTGTTGGTGACCAAGTATCTATTAACCATGACGTAATTTTCCCTTTAGTCGATGCATTATGACGTCATACAATACGTCATTTTCCTTATATCCTGTAAATTCGCGAATCGCCGCGCTTTCTGTAAGCCCCGCCCCTTTTCCCAACCTACGTCACGGATGCTGAGGTTAGACAAACATCTCTTTATAAACATGGCTGCAAAGAGTTTAGATCAACACGTTTTTGCAGTTTTATCCGACTTACCTCATGACATATCCGAAAATTATATAGAGGGAGAAATTTCCATGAAAGCAAGGCAGCAAGGCTTTAAGTATTATTGTGAGAATTATTTCGAGAGGGTGAAATTGTATAAAAGCGACAAGGAGAATGAAGTCCGAATTTCCGCAAAATGTCACCGCTCCCAACGGAAAAATGACTCTCCGCATTCTATTAATCTAGACGTATCGCCAGGATCCTTGGATTTGGCGCATTGTTCATGCATAGCTGGGTATGTTTTGTTTTAGAATTTGATGCTTATGATTTACAATGAATATTCCGATATCTTTGCTGTGAAAATCGTAAAATGAAACCCGACACTCGTTTTTTTTTCAGAGCCAGTGGGTCATGTTCTCACATTATTGGCTTGTTGATGGCTCTTCAGCATTGAATTCCGATGGGTTTTAAAGCAGTCCCTGATAATCTAACATGTACTAGTCTGTGCCAAGAGGAAGCAAGATTGAAAATTCTGCTGCTCCCCAAATTTGCATTATTAAACCCCACCCTGATAGAAAACAGAAACCTGTAGAAAATGTTTTGACAGAATGCAGGTAACCAAAAATATCATTAAAACCTTATAAATTAAATAACATTACTATTAGTATTAGCAACAATTAAAATTTGTAATTTCTACATGTATGTATTTATAATCTAATTTTTAAAGTTGCTTGATTAAAATTCATTACCAGGGTACATTGTATTTTTAGGAAGATTTATGTGAATGGGGAAGATGTTGACCATTTAAAAGCCTTAAAAGGATTGCCAATCAGTTACTTGGTGTCAAATCCCATGAAGAGGAAAATGACCCATTTGGGTGAAGTTGGAATAGGAAGTGGTCGAAGCACACATGTAAGTTTTGTACTATAATTTAGATTATTTCTCTCTACCCCTCTCTCTCTCTCTCTCTCTCTCTCTATTTCTCAGGCAGAACAAATATTTTAGTACTATAATTAAGTCAATATTTTAATACTTTATCATATGTGATATACCGGTACATCATGTAATTAAATTTCATCAAATAAAAACAATATTGCATGTATGCATATACATGTACCGGTAAACATGAATAAAATATATAATATATACACTACATACTGAGGGTAATGCGTTTAGTCAAGAAAATACCCCATTACATGTATGAAATGCAGGTTAACTGGTTAATATTTATTTTTAAAAAAATTAAAAGCTTTGACTTAATTAGGTTTTGTTTTTAATGCAAGGAAGAAAAAAAATTTGAAAGCATAGCACAGACATACTATATTTGGTTAATCAAAGTAAATAAAGAGAGTTTGAATTTTCCAGATAAAATTTTAAAACGTTTGATTCTCTCAATAGCTCTTTCAACGTGAACTCTATGTTTAGCTATTTTCTTGGTTAGTAAAGCATCACTCTTGGTCATTTGTTTTCCAATGGTTGCAAAGGGTGGTATGTTTAATTGCAGCCCACATTTCTTTACTTCCTCTTCAATGTTAAATCCTTTATCTGCCATGAGTCCATCTCCTTGGAGTAGGTAACCCTCATCCAACAAGTCTTTGAGCATGTCTTCAAACTTCGATCGAACAAAAATATCCTTGTCAGATATACCGCCACTAAGTAACATGGAAGCAAATGTAACTGAACCCCTTGGATCACACACTACTAAACCTTTCATAGTATTGCAGCTTTTATAGTCACTGTAGGTTTGTGATTGGGCCTTAAGAGATGATGGTTTGTTGATTTTTATTTCTGTGCAGTCAAGAATACCAAAAGTTGTCGGAAATTCTTCTTTAAATTTGGGTGGCATATTTTCTTTGATGACATTTCTGTGAGGCCAGATGGAAAGCTCTCCAAATCTCAAAAACATGTAATTGATCCAGTGCGTAAAAATAACACTTGTTGTCTGTTTACTAATTTTAAATCGAAAAGCCAAGTCAGAATAATGAAAATCATGTCTCAATTTCATAATTGTTAAAAATAATTGACTTTTCAAATTCAATGCTATTACTTCTTTTGATCTGTTTGATGGAAACTGTATTATTGGTATAACTTGATCATTTGGTATCAAAAAAATATATACTCCAAGAAACTGATCAGGTGTTAAACCTGTGTAATATTTGAATTGTTTTGCATCACCAATGATGACATCAACATTAAATTCCTGTGAAAGTTCAGCTTGCAATTTTACATTTTTTTTTGTGTGTAAGTCTTCTTATGAAGTTGATCATATGCTCCATATACAGTCTGAAGTTTACCATTTAAGCTTCTATTTTCCTCCAAAATGTTCTTGTTTTCAGCAGCCAGTAGTAAAACATCCATAGGTTCAACCCCTGGAATAAATTGCAAATAAAATGTATTTACATGTATTAGTTTTTCATAATGCAATGCAGCATTTTCATTTAATTTTTTTTTACAGGCATCCTTCTATGAACCACAAGTACAAAAGGCAGTGGATACAAAATGTGGAGATCTAAAATTGCCCTATATCTGTCCAGTTTTACTACCATATAAATATAAACATTTATCAGAATCTCTAGCAATAGACTTGAACAAAGCTCATGAAATTCAAGAGTAAACACAAGAACAATATAATTCACAGAGATGGCATTTAGAGAGAAAAACACGACTAACGGCATCCAAATTTTACGAAATTTTACACAGGAAAACTATTTCTTTGAAGTATGTCAAAAGTATTTTAGAACCAAAAGCATTTAAGTCTACTTCCACGTCATACGGAATTTCCAATGAAAAGAAAGCCAGAGAAATGTATGTTAAAAGACAGGGATTGCATGTACATGACTGCGGTCTGTGCATTAATCCAGAATTGCCATTTCTAGGGGCAACTCCAGATGGAATTGTCTGTGATGGAGGTGTAAGTGGAATTGTTGAAATTAAGTGCCCCTACTCTGCTCGAGACTTGACCATTCAAGAATCTCTTTCCCTTCCCAATTTTTGTTTACTTGAAACTGATGGAAAAATTACTTTGAAAAAATCTCACGCCTTCTATTTCCAAGTTCAAGGACAACTTCTGGTCACCGGTGTTTCTTTTTGTGATTTCATTGTATTTACTCGAAAAGAATTACATGTCGAAAGAATATAATTATCCTAATGTTCATTTTATGAAAGAACTTGTCTCAAATTTAACTGAAATATACTTCTGTCATTTTCATGATTTAATTGAACAAACTGTTGTCTGCATCTATGTTGGGTATTGTTCATAAATCAAAATGGCATCATGCACTTACATTTTTCCTCAGTTTGAGAGCAAGTTGACACACCAGTGGCAGTAACATGCTGAGAAGATTCTTCACATTGATTATCAGGGTCTTCATGATTTTCTGATTCACTGAAATTACAGAACAAAGGTCACTGCAAATTTGATCTACCAACAAAATGTTTCACATATATCAACACAAAACTATAGGCATTGCTGCTCTATAAAAGACCAGGAGGCAATAAACTACAAGTGAAATATAAAAGTTACAATTAAAAAAAAAGCTGTTTTTTTTTTTATTTTAATATTTTTTTTTTCTGTATAAAATTTGCATGGAAATAATATATACTAATGATTTAATTTTACCTTGACTGTTTGTTGAAGATTCCCCTGTTCCTTGGTGGGGGTCTAGATGGCTTGGATGTGCTGGAAGTCAGAGGAATGGGGTCAGGATATGTTGGTGTAGGACCACAGCCATTCATAAAGTGCTGCAATCAAATATAGCATGACTCTTAACCATGTTAACAAACAATTTTTCAGATAAACACATATTCTAAATTATTCTTTAGGAGTTCAAAGATATACGTATAAACAGGGATCTACCAAATATGTATATAGGTACTGACAAAATTACTTAAGTGAAATCGTATGCAAAATTTTCACTTCTCGAGGGTTATGATGTGAAATGCATGTTAACCTCTTTAATACACTATAAAACACATTTTATTCAGGCAGTAGCCCCGGCATGTGCGATATATTTTAAAATAATTGGGGACATGACAGACGATGTTCAAAAACAGCAAAGGAAATTCTGGCCGATTTTGCTAACAATTAACATATTGGCCTATGCGTAACTTCTGTTTAAATACGCAAAATCATTTATAAGAGCGTAAATTTGTATGCTACGATCAATATTAACAACATAATTGAACATACCTTGGAGAAGACATAAGTGTTTTTTGTTATGCTGTCGACGTTGAGTTGTTTGTGGGGACGATTACACGCCTTGATCCACCGTCGACATTTGTCAATATTTGTTTTAGGTTTAGGGAATGGGTAAAATATCACCCCCTCATTCCGGGCCGGATACCGACTGTCACTGTTGCAAAGTCCGAATGCACATCTTTTAACCATAACAATCGTATGAATGTGTTGATCTACTGTACAGTAGTCTAACCTTCCGCCACGCAACTATTGGTGACGCTTTCTCTACGTCATACCTTTTATCTGATTGGTCAGGTCAGTTATCCCGGGAAAATTGGCGATTTTCGAATTCCTTTGAAAATGGCCATAAATTGAAGTATTTTTTTCAATATTTCATATACATGTGATCTGAAAGACGCAAAAGCTGTGTATATGCCTGCAGCCAGAATATATAGTTGAAATTAACTAGTACTTGAACATTTTTTCTGATTGCTTAAAATTGAATATTTTTTCAAAAAAAAAACAAACTTTTGAATTAGCAACTCAAAACAAATATCACTAACACTAGAAATCATTGCTTAATCAAAAATACTTTATGCTCCGGAAAGGAGGAGGATTGATTCAACGGGATATTATTTTCCTCTTCATTTGTACGAAAATTTCAAATAATTTTGAAATATGTGGCCCCAGGGTCAGTGGTTCCTTTGGGGTGGGGTGCAAAACTGGTTTGAAGTTGAAGTCTATTTTCTCTTGGTTACTCTGTTCTACCTCTGGGTATTAAGTAAATAGAGTAAGCATGCTAAGTTTATAATTATGATAAGCAATGGTGCCCCTTTTAAAATTCTGAATTTCATTGCCTCTGGTTTAAAACACGAACAAAATTCAATTGTTGGAAAGTTGTTACATGATACTCAGGTGACCTATAAGGCCCGTGGGCCTCTTGTTTTTTTATTTCTTTTCTAGATATTTCATTCTTTTTTTTTTTTTTTTTTTGCTTGATTAAGTTTTCACGCAACGATTGATTTCGATTATTATACACTTTTGAACAAGTGGACGAGACCCACCCCAACCCTCCGTCTGTATATTAAACTTTAATTTCCTTTGATTTGTTCAAATCATGACCCCCGGGGGTAGGACGGGGCCACAATGACCGATCAAAGTTTTACATAGGAATATATAGAAAAAACCTTTAAAAAATCTTCAAGCCCCGTGGGGATCCGCGTTAGAATAGGTCCTCAGTACCCCCTTGCTTGTCGTAAAAGGCGACTAAATGGGGCGGTCCTTCGGATGAGACCGTATAAACCTAGGCCCCGTGTCACAGCAGGTGTGGCACGATAAAGATCCCTCCCTGCTCAAAGGCCCTGAGTGCCGAGCATAGGCCTAAATTTGCAGCCCTTCACCGGCAATGGTGACGTCTCCATATCAGTGAAATATTCTGGAGAGGGACGTTAAACAGTATACAATCAATCAATCAATCTTCTCCAGAACCATTGGGCCAGGAAAGATGAAAGTCATGTGGAAGCATCCTCAGGTAATGTAGATTCAAGTTTGTTCAAATTCCCCGGGGATAGGGCGGGGCCACAATGGCTGATCAAAGTTTTACATAGGAATATATAGGAAAAATCTTCTCAGGAACCATTGGACCAGGAAAGATGAAACTCGTGTGGAAGCATCCTCAGGTAGTGTTTTATTCAATTTATTCAAATCATGACCCCCCAGGGGTAGGGCGGGGACATAGTTGATCAAAATTTTTCATAAGAATATGTAGGGAAAATCTTTTAAAAATTTTCTTCTCCAAAACTAAAGAAATTCATGTGGAAGCATCCTCTGGTAGTATAGATTCAAGTTTGTTCAAATCATGACTCCCAGGGTTAGAGTGTGGTCACAATGGGAGATCGAGTAATATGTAGGGAAATTCTTTTAAAAAAATCTTCTTTTCAAGTATGGCAAAATTATACTTGCCTTGTACATATTGTATGCTTTATTGATACAGTGACATTCTCAAGTAATACACAATTCAAATCCCCCTCCCCCAACAAGTCAGCTTTTCAATACGAAGCTGATTTGTGTTTTTTAACTAGCCCATGTGTTCAGGTGAGCGATGTGGCCCATGGGTCTCTTGTTTCCAGCACCTGTGCTCAGGTGAGCGATTAGACCCATGGGCCTCTTGTTGGATTAACTATTAGTTTTATACCAAAACTCGGAATCTGAAGACTGTACATATGACATATGTTTAAAATCCTTGAGGATTATCCGAGGGGCACCGAATGAACTCTTTGGGTCTCTGCCCCTTGTAGACTCGAAAGGATGCCGCCATTTTATACTGGGCGGGTCTGTCAGTATCATTTCGTTATTCTGTGAACTCAATTGAGAGATTTCAACCCTCGCCATAATTATAAGCTGCAATACGGGGGCATCAGTGTTTCACTAACACCTCATTCATAATAAAGCAGGGACAGTTACGTTTTATGGTCAGTTTCATGATAGTTAATTTGACCATTATTGTAAGCGGAACTTACGTACTTTCAGGAACACTTTTTGTGCTTTGAATTAATGAAAATCATATTAAGCATGAAAAATGTGGAAGATGCCAAAGTTAACAAAAGAGGAGATTGGTGAACATAACGAGAGATAAGCTTGTAGCGCAACAAACATGAAGGTGAAAAAATAAATCTCAATTATATCAAAATTTTCTCAATATTTCATCTAACATTAAGTATACATTACGTAAAATCTCTACAACTTACACAAATCTCATGAAGATTGAAGTTATTTGCCTATGAAATATTTTACACACACGAAAGAGGGCAAAATGAGTCATTTTTTCAATCTATAACACAATTTTACGTTATGATTGAGTGGGTCTTCACTCCATTTTTTTGAAAGTTAAGCCTAAGTATACTCCTATAGGGCCTATACACGTGTTCGTGCCTCCGACAACCTAAATCTAGGTCACATATATAATTAAAGTTAACAAGATTGCTTTGATCATAATATAAAATTCCTTTGTTGTTTATTTCATAAATGTTGATATTTGACTACAGTAACTAAATAATCATTTATTTGTTTCGTGTTTGTATGGGACTATTTTTTTATAGTAAAATTTGACGTCATGGAGCGGGGCAATGGAAAATAACATGGAATGCATTTCAAATCTACCTATATTAGACGGTATTTCGATTTATTTTTAGATAGTTATTTCGAGTAAAAATGGAAATATAAGGAATCACTGTCTAGTTCGGAGACTATGCCAGGGACATAAATAATAGTGGGAAACATGGGATTATTTTAGCATAACGGGCGAAGCCCGTTATGCAAATTATCCCATGTCTCCCACTATTGTTGATGCCCTGGCATAGTCTCCTAACTAGAAAGTGATTCCTTAAATATGTAAAAGAAAATAATCATAATTTAGGGACTATGTACGAAAGCCCAGAAGGCTCATTCGAGATTCAAGTTTCGAAATACGAGATTCAAGATTCGAGATTCGAAATTCGAGTTTCGAAATTCAAGATCCAAACTAACCAATCAGAGCGGGTTCAACTTTTGATTACTTCCCTTTGTTTCGTTTTTACTATCACGAAATCGTTCAATATATTTATAACAAATGGATCATTTGCTAAAATGATAATGCAAGAAAAAATGTTTTATGTATTAAAACGAAATAAACATAAAATTTGGATTACATTTTGAAAAATACATATATAATCTTATTTTTCTAATTTAACAAAATAGTAAATACGTATATATGCATTATATGGAATATTATATGGTCTTATCGTTGACTTGCTGAATAAGTAGGTCAACTAATTTTAATTCATCAGATCATTGCTGATGGAGAATGTTGCATTTAATTATAATTAGACATGAAATATTATGAATCGTACCTACACTGCACAATGATTTAAGGGTATATATAAAGGGTACATTTGTGCAGTGAGACTTGACTGCTGAATCGAACTGTAGCGTTATATAAGGTTTTATATATTTTAGTCTTTGGTCATAAAGCTATGGCCAGAGACTAAAATATAACACCATAACGCTATATAGTTCTGCATCTAATTTAGACTCATCTACTATTTGATATAAGATAAAATAAATGCCTCATTTATTAATTCATATCGCTAAGCTGTATTGTAGATATAATTTTTAATTAGTTCAAGAAATCAAAGCCTTAGATGAAAATAAGTAATTAAACACTTAATTTTTATGTATTTCCTCTATCAGGAAAACGAATGCGATTTTTCTTTATCAATACTACGTCGTCTTTCAAGTTTCAAGCCTTTCAGTGTGTTGGGAAAAAAATGGGCAGGCGGGGTGGGTAGGGGTGGGGTTATTGTTAACCTTTAGACACTTGCCACGTATTCATAACTTTATTTATATGTTATCAACCCCGTAAACAAAGTAGACAATACAAATATATATATATTCCTGATATATGTATTCTATTTAATATTTAAGAAGCAATAATATAAATTGAAGTATATCTTGCTGATCAAAAAACCAATGATTATTTAAATTTCCTTCTTATATAAATAACACTCTTTCTTGCATTGTAATTTTTATTAAATGACTTATTTGTTATTTATATATTAAACGATTTCTTGATAGTAAAATCATAATAAAGGGGAGTAATCAAATGTTGAACCCGCTTCTGATTGGTTAATCTGGATCTTGAATCTCGAAATTCGAATCTCGTATTTCGAACCTTGAATCTCGAGTGAGCCTTTTGGGAGCTTTTGATTGGTTAATCTGGATCTTGAATCGCGAAACTTGAATTTCGAATCTCGTATTTCGAACCTTGAATCTCGAATGAGCCTTCTGGGCTTTCGTAGACTATGCCTATTTACTTACTCAGTCTGTTAAGAGTGAGAATCTGCAGGAACTACAATACCGTATACTACACTTGACCCAAAGTTTGCATACAAATAAAGTATACATATTTTGGTTTCCAAAATTATGGAGCAAAGTGGGTATATCTGAAAAATATAATTTTATGAAATAACTTTCGTATCTTTTCAGTAAGTCAATGGTTTAAATACCACTTTTCATCAGGACTAGTGTAGTGTTTAGTGGTTAGCGTGGAAGTCTCGGTAGAGAATTCTACTCAGGATTTTTATTGCTAGGGTTCGAATCCAATGGATACCACATTATTTTCTTATAAAAAAAGATTAAATTTTAACGAAAATTTTCCTCAGAATTTTTTGTTTGTCATGATTTTATAAATATCAATAATGAGAACTTGACTCTAAATACTAAATTCACAATTTGAGTATGAGTTTTATAATTACGTTAAGTTCGCCCATCTCTTTTCACCTGATTGCCCTCTTTGAAAAAAACAGGTTAAAGTGGAATCTGTAAGGATAATCCTAATGAAATTTCAACACGTACGCTAATGATATGTTTCGGACGTTGATTTTTTGGTCAAATCTTGTTAAGTGGGAAAGAAATTAGAATATTTACTATGTTTAAGAACTACATTCTTTCCCACGTAGGCTTTAAATTTTGTATAAATGATCCTTTCTTTCAATCAAGGCATATACGTACCCACTGAAAATAAGAAATAAGTACATTTTGTACTACATAATGTTTTAATACTTACTCAGTACAGATTTACGGAACAAATAGTATATGTAAGTATTTTTAAAATGCAGTTACTTTAAAGCAGACAGGTCTAATTCCTTTTCAGGGGAAAAGTGGGAGGGGTAACATTTCAGTGCTTTTATGTGGATTTCAAAGTCAAACATATGTAAAAAAAATAATTTGATCACGTTACGATAATAAAGGAAAAATGTTTGAGGTGTGTTTTTCATAATCATAGCCATCAAAGCAATGGTTTTGAAAATTAGATTTTGAAAAATATCACGAAGTGAGAGACAAATGATGAAAGGTGTATTAGATATCAATTCAATCCCACCTCAATCACATTTATCGTCACATTTAAACCTCATCAAATATCAATCTGCTGGGCTATATTTTGCATGTTTAATCATTTTGCTTTTTATCAGAATTCAGATTCCTGTAGAAATTAGACCTTAACAAGTAAGTACTAGATACCTTGTATTCTGTACAACAGTTTTACTCTACACTGCAGGTTAGAAGGACTATATCTATGTCGTGAAAGATTTAAACACTCAAAAACGTGGTGGTAAAAACTGTCCGAAGCATGTACAATCTGTTCTGGCATCTATCATTCATCATCCCAATCATGTTATTGCGCCTTCGTTCATCATATATGAAAAAGTGATAAAAGAGGATAAAGATGTCTTATTTGTTGTTCTTTTTAACACGTATGATACAAAAAAGTTTAAAACACATGGATGCTGACTGCAAATTAGTTACAGATCTATTCATTAGAAAAGTATCGACGGTTTATGACTTGTCTTGTATCTGCTTCTTCTGTTGTAGATATCTCCACATTACATTTTCAGAAAGTGATGGTCGTGGTTTCATTATGTATATGGACGCTACTCTGGATATTTACACATGTACAAGTGGCTTCTCATCACTACCAGGATTACAACGCATTGTTTCTGCAAAGGTTTGTTACAGGAATCAATTACTTAAATGCCTTTGTGTCCAGTTTCAAGAGGATCAACACTTTGTCAAATACAATGTACAATTGAATCGCCCACCCAACCCATCTCCTTCGAAAAAAAAATCTGAATACTATCCACAGGCACTTGTTTCTTATACGGGACACCCCTACTTATTTTTACCACAAGTACCTTTTTCATTCAGGCACCGTCTGATTCAGAACCGATTTAATTGGCAAATAAAACCTCTCTCAAAATGAACATGTCATTTTAAAGTAGGTTAATGATTGGTATTTTAACAAAATACGAGCTTGAAGCGGGGGTTCCAGAAAATTGAGTTAGGTACATGTAATAAGTATGGGGTGTCAAGTATACGAAACAAGTGCCTGTGCTACAATCTCCTTTTTTGTACATGTATTTTTGTCGGGGCGTTAGATAACAAGATTTCTTAAATTTTTTTTGTTGGAAATTCTTTATTTGAAAAATCTTTACTAAATTATACGCATGCTTTAACATTATCACAAGAAACAGAATGAGAAACAGAAAACGCATAAATAATTCATGTAGATTAAAAGAGACTCAAGTATTAAAATAGTGAAGTGTTCATTCTCAAAAGACTATTTATAATCGCAACATCGTTATTGTTGCGTATCACAATCCTCCTCATGCTTTTGTGCCTTGAACACTGCCTTCCCTTCATCATCATCAAGGAAAGGCACAAAAGTATGAGGACGATTGTGATCGTGCCTTCCCTTCATCATCATTAGTCGCCCGCGTGGTGCTGTGGTTAGAGCGTCTGCTCTAGGGTCGCGAAGAAACGATTTGATCCTTAATTAGCGGTTTCGATCCCACTGTGGGACAGTCCTTCGGATGAGACCGTATAAACCGACGTCCCGTGTCGCAGTAGGTGCTGGCACGAAAAAGATCCATCCCTGCTCAATGGGCCCAAGTGCCGAGTATAGGACAAAATTTGTAGCTCTCCATCGGCAAGTGGCGGTGTCTCCATATGAGTGAAAAAGTCTCGAGAGGGACGTTAAACAACATACAGTCAATCAATCTAATCAATGACCTTGTCAGTAAATGCAATCCGTCGTTAAGTCGAATTTTGACTGACGTTTTATTATTTACAAATTGTTAGACCATGATTTCACACTGACCAGTAATGTGTTTTTCCGTTTGTCCGGTCATGACACAAGGCGCTTATAACTAGTCAACATGGGATGTTTACTCCTCCATGGCCTGTTATCTCGCCTCTGATGTTCTTACAGATTCGTGATGTTTGCTGCATGAGCCCCCAACTTGTATTTTTGAGTTCTATTAGCATTTGTCATCTCCATATTTTTAATAGCTAGTATTTTATGTTTGAGTGTATTTAGAATATTTTAAGAGTTATTCTTTTAGATCCTGAGTTGGAGGTTATTCTTGGAAGTGTATTCTTCAGAAAGAAATCCCTCTAGATTTCGGTTTCAAATATACGTAGTATCTTGCCCAAAGTAAGACCTCAGCACAAGTGAGTAATAAGAATTTACATTTAGGTTTTTTGAAACTGATATGGATTGATCTGACAACGAGAAAAATTTCTGAAATGTTATCTTAAAAGATAGGAAATGGGATATAAATGTAATGGGTCCTCGAAGTCATTCTTCTTTTTTAATAAATTAAAAGCGTAATCTTATCTGTCACAAAACAGAAATTAACACCCCTGCTTGGCTAATGATATTTGAAATTATTAGTAGTGAATTCCTAACTTAGAAAATACAATGTATCTGGTAGACTTTGGAAAGCTCGTTTCCATTGAATTCCTAGACTCTGCTGGATATTCATATATATATATATATATATATATATATATATATATATATATATATATATATATATATATATATATATATATATATATATATATATATATATATGTTTGTACTAAACAAGCATTTGTATCTAAGGTTATTGAAAATTACCAAAACGATTCCTAAAACAAAATTAGATATTTACTGTTTATGGATAATTAACTCCCTTCCCCTCAGTCGTGCGTTTTAACGCATATACCATTTCCTATTTCTGACGCAATATCACGCATATACCGTCTCCCCGCAATTACAAATACATTTAATTTTCAATTTAATGCCACTTCCCATCTATTTTTTACTTGCTAAAATCTCGTAAAGTAAGAAAAGTTAAAATCTTAATAAGATATTACGTTATAATATTATTTACGGTAAGCTTTAGAGAAACTTGCAATGTATGGAACGCCGTCACTGCCTTATAGCAGAACACAATAATTGCATTGTGTCAACCTTCCATTACATTATGTCAACTCTTTATGACATTAACTCACAATACTATTGCATTGTGTCAACCTTCCATTACATTATGTCAACTCTTTATCACATTAACCCACAATACTATTGCATTGTGTCAACCTTTCATTACATTATGTCAACTCTTTATGACATTAACTCACAATACTATTGCATTGTGTCAACCATCCATTACATTATGTCAACTCTTTATGACATTAACCCACAATACTATTGCATTATGTCAACCTTCCATTACATTATGTCAACTCTTTATGACATTAACCCACAATACTATTGCATTGTCTCAACCTTCCATTACATTATGTCAACTCTTTATGACATTAACCCACAATACTATTGCATTGTGTCAACCTTCCATTACATTATGTCAACTCTTTATGACATTAACCCACAATACTATTGCATTATGTCAACCTTCCATTATATTATGTCAACCTTCCAATTCATTATGTCAACTCTTTATGACATTAACCCACACTACCTTTGCATCTTGTCAACTTTCCTTTACATTATGTCAACACCTTATGACATTTACACATACTACAATTATATTTTGTCAACTTGCATTTCGTTATGTTTACTGTTCATGACATTTAATTAAACAACAATTACACTGTGTCAACCTTTCATTACATTATGTCAATTCTTTATGATATTAACTCGCAATACTATTGCATCGTGTCAACCTTCCATTACATTATGTCAGTTTTTTATGTACCAAAACCGTACCATTATTTCACACCAATTTACATGATGTAAATATATTATATATATAATATCAACATTGATAACATTAGGTAGATGTATTCATACATAATACAGACGCTCTTTATATTGAAGTTGGTAGTACATTTATGTGATGCGAAAATAGTAAATACACTACGTCAATATTTTATAACGTGATATGAATATATGTCTTATATGTTAAGCCAACCCCCCATTCCATGATATGAAAATCCATCTTAGTTTTTACTAACTGATGTGAAAAGCTCATGTCATACTGTGCGCACTCTTCTACATTATGTCGATTCACTATTACGTTATGCGAACACGGGTATCCTCGGCCTTTATATGAGCATAACGTATTTTCCGCCTTCCGCAAGCACTAAAATTGGCGGGAGAGAAAACTGTCGTAGAAGAAATTCTCAGCGATTTTGGAATGGCATCTTTAATTAAAATTTTAAGCGACAAATGATTGACAATCTTGAAACGTGCAAAGCCTTAACACTGCGACTGTAAATTAAAGTCACGTCGAAATTCAATGACGTTTACTTTACTTTGATTATTAAATAAATCAAATATTATGAGTCGTGCAGCAATTTTTTTTCTTTTTCTTTTATTTCTTTCTTTCTTTTTTTTGGGGGGGGGGGGGATAAAAGTCTTAAACTTCTGATCTTACTAAGAACATTGTCATAAGATTTTTATCAGTCTTTAACTATCCTTTTTTAAAAATGTAAACACATCGTATAACACACGTGCACTGGTGGGTTAGGTTGGGTTGGGGGGGGGGGGGGGATCCCGCCCTACCATCTTTAGTGACCAAAATATACATGTACATAAAATTAATAAATTTATTGGTTTTCCTTTGTAGGACAATTGCATTAGTTTCACATTAAGTTTAGTTGAATTAAGTTGAAAACTTTTTTTTCTATAAAACTATAAAGCCTGAGAGCTTCTCTGCTTTCCTCCTTGGTCTCCAACCATATACCGTCCCCCTTCCTTGTTCAAGATTCCCATATCCGCCACTGATATGTGCCTGCCCATGCATGCTTACTAAGGCATATTCAATTGATTTAGATGAGGGACTGGTAGATTTTTGTAATAGAATTCTGGCCTTAGAATCGTTGAAAAATTTTCTAATTCCGGTGACGTAACATCTTTTTTGAAAGGGGAGGTCAACCAGAAAAAAAATATTAATTTGCCCAAAAAACTTGACAAGCCCAAAAACATTATCCAAGCCCGAAAATCCTTTTTCGGGGAGGGGGGTCCAACTTCGATCAGTCCTAAATTTTTTTTTTCAGATATGCTACATTGCCCTCAGTGGATTATACTTCAACAAAAAGTGGGGGTAGGGGCTGCGCTTTCAATGAACATTACATTTTCTATAGTAAAGTTATGTCTGGGAAAGAGAGGGGGGGGGCTGATATTTTGTGCCTGTCATTCTTCCTAATCAATCAGGACCCCCACCCCCTCTTAACAGTCATTAAAGCACGGTCTTCAACATTCATTGTATATTAGATATACAGCTTTGAGATAATGTATTTTTACATCAGGTAATGCACTTTTGGAATCAACATGATAAAGAGTTAACACAATATAAAGATATTTTTAGATCACATAAGAAAAAGTTGGCATAACGTTATAATATATCCACATCACGGTATTGAGTTTTGACATAATGTAATAAAGTGTTGTTATAATATAAAGATATGTTCACATTATGTAATACACTTTTTACACCACGTAATAAAGCACTGACATAAAGGTAAGATGTGTTCACCTCACATCATGATGCTTTCGCCGTAAAATAAAGATAAATCCATATCACGTAATAATGCTTTGATATAATAGAAATATACACTCTCAAAAAAGGAATGGATTTTTGACTTCATTTTATGATAAGTTTAATTATAAAACGCAATTTACTTGACGTAATGCAATTTTGACCTCACATATTAAAGAAATGAAATGATGTAAAGAAACATTCATTTCACGTAATAAAGTTTTAACACAATGTAAACACATTATCACTTCACATAATGAATTTTTTACTTCAAGTTATGAAGTGCTGACATAATGAAAGGATGTATTTACTTCATGTAATGCAGCATTGGCATGATGTTAAGATATTTTTACATCATCTCATAAGAAATTGACATAACGTAAAGATATGTTCACACCACGTTATGATAAATTGACATAATAAATGCATAGTTGTATGCTATAAGGCAGTGATGGCGTTCCATACAATGCGCTATAAAGTGCTTGCGGGCAAAACGTAAAGTCATATTTCTATGACGTGAATATCATGTGTATATTGCAACACAGTTCAGTAAGTTGTAAAGAGTTAAAGCCCGATTTATACTGTATTGAAACTCCACTGAAATAAAAATTATTTATTTGCAGATATTCAAGGTTAAATGAATCTAATAATACGTTTTCTCCTACAATGAAATGGCAAACATCCCACTTTGCATTGATCACCTTCAAATATTTTGTAATAATAGTACACTGTATAAGAAAAAAACCCAGCCCCCTCCCCCTTTATCGTAAAATAAATTCCTTATTCAACTGAAATATCGCATATCCTAATAATATATATAAATACTAGCGGTACGTGCACTGTAAGCAATGAGCACCTGCCTCCCATATGAATATAATGGCAGTGTCTTTTTTTAGCTCTACTGGTCAGTGACCAGAAGACCTTATGCGATGGTAAGGTGTCCGTTGTCCGTCCGTCTGTCTGTCTGTAAACAATCCTCCTACAGTTTTGATCTGATTTCAATATAATTTGGCACACAAATAGACTTCATAAAGATACATAAATTAGTGCATGTGTTTTTAATTTCGATGAACAGTATTGCTATGGTTGCTAAAAATAGAATTTTCTGTGAAATACATTCAAAATGCTACTCCTCCTACAGTTTTGGTCTAATTTCAATATAACTTGGCACACAAGTAGACTACACTAAGATACATTATTCTATATACATGTATCGGTTTTTGATCTGGATGAACATTGTTGCTGTGGTTACTAAAAATAATTTTTTTTTTGTAAAATCCTCTCAAAATGCTACTCTACACAGTTTTAGTATGATTTTAATATAATGTGGCATTCACGTAGACTACATTGAGATACATAATTGTCTTAATTGTTTTTCTTATGCGCCCGGATCAAAAGATCCGAGGCGTATATTGTTTTTGTCCTATCTGTCTGTTTGTCTGTTGTCTGCAAACTTTAACCTTCGCTATAACTTTTGAACCATAAATGATAGAGACTTCATATTTGGCATGCCTACTCCACTAATGTAACTCTTTCAAATGACATCAAGGTTAATGACCTTGTGACCTTGACTGTGACCTATATGCTAAAAATAGAGGGGTTTTTTGCAAACTTTAACCTTTGCCATAATTTTTGAACCATAAAAGATAGAGACTTCATATTTGGTATACATACAACACTTATTAAGCTTTTTTAAAAGACAGCATGGTCAATGACCTTGTGACCTTGACTGTGGCCTATACGCTAAATATAGCTTTTTTGTCTGCAAACTTTAACCTTCGCCATAACTTTTGAACGAAGAAAGATAGAGACTTAATATTTAGCATGCGCACTCCACTAATTAAGCCCTTTCATATGATACCAAGGTCATTGACCTTGTGATCTTGACTGTGTCCTATATGCTAAAAATAGCTTTTTTGAACCTTCACCATAACTTTTGAACCATGACAGATAGAAACTTCATATTTGGTATGCATACTTCACTAATCAAGATTTTTCAAATGACACCAAGATCAATGACCTTGTGACCTTCACTGTGACCTTTATGCTAAAAATATGTTTTTTAAATTTGTTGCCGCACATGTGTTTCACAAACACATCTTGTTTTAATTTATTTTGATGAATGATGTTGCCATGATACAGTACTTTATTTTAAAATTGCAAATTAAATTTATTAAATAAAAATCCCGATCATTAACTGTGTCCGAGAATTTTTTATATTTTATATTTTTCTCTAGACAAAGTCGGTATGTTGTCTGAAAAATATTTACATGAAATATTAAAACGGGTTGTTATGAAATAATCAAAGTGAAACAGATTCAGGTTGGGAAAAGAAATCCATAATCTTAATACATGTCTTAACACCTTTTTTCCTATAAACGTGTTATACGAGCATGCAATACTGAAATGTGGGTTAATGAGGATTTGAATTCTAACAGGACAGAGAACGAGTGGCGATCTCTCTGGCACACAGACTGTCATCGCGTCTGTCATTATGAACTGGATCAACATGTAGACTTGGCCTGTCGGATGGACATTTACAGAATCCGGAAACGCTCTGCAGACTGGGAGCGTGCAGCTAAACGGAAACACATTAACGGGGGTCAGTACTTCCTTTGTTTTATCTCAAAAATCTAAAATCTTGTTTTTTTTAATCTTAGGAAATATGTAGATAATTAAATTTTTTTTAATAGAATTCTCTGAAGACAATGGCGTTTTTATAGAAAAATCTGCTTCAATGAAGTTTTTATCTCCAGTAATGGACATGCGAAGTAAAAAGAATGTTTTGAACGAGTGTTGCTATTCCAAAGGATGTAGCTGGGAAGAATTCGCAGAATTTTGTCAGTTTTCTATAAGACTTCCCGCTACAGATGCTAACTCCTGTGCGTGATAAGTTGTCACTCTGTAGAACGATGTAACCAGTCACTCTGTAGAACGATGTAACCAGAAATGGAACAACAGGAAGCCTTTAATAATCTTCATCAAAACAACGTAGATAAATGTTACGAATTACATTGTAAAAATAAATTAAGTTAAAATGTTTTGCAATTTCAGTCAATTAAGATATTCTAAAAATAAATTAAGTTGAAATGTTTTGCACTATCAGTCAATTGAGATCAGATTTCTATACCCTTATGAGATCAAGGATTTCACTTGAACTGCAGGTTCCTGAACCATTTTAAGATTATTTAAGGAATGTTTTTAAGTTTTGTGTGAATTATTGGTGTGTAAATCACACAGATTTGTCACGTAGAAATATTTAGGAAAATATGCTTACGTGCAAGCCTTGTGTGATACATAGAAGATATCTATATTGTGTGATTTGATATTGGCTTTATCCAACGAGTTGAAATTGTGTATATTGGCGAGGCTTTCCGAGCGAATATACACCATTTCAAAGGAGTTTGATAAAGCCAATATCAAATCACACAGTTATTGTTCTATTTATCTCATACGACTTTTAACAAAACTTTGAGACTTCCCCGGCGAAACTACATGAATGATTGCAACTTCAAATTGATGACGTATAACTTGATGACGTAGCACCGTTGATGTTGACATGCCTCGAAAGAAAGAAGATCGATCGAGTTCAAAATTTATAATTTTTGCTATCTGTGTTTTTGAAAACCTTATGTGACAATTACCGGAGCTTTACACTAAACGAACTTCTGACTGAAAGTTGTAAGGACCATGGAATCGTGAAAATTAACTCTTTGTATGATGGCAGTACAAGACGTCATAGGCAAGCTAGGCTACTTGTAGATTCGTTGTTGATCAATGGAAAGTTACACCTACATTACTAGGTAGGCCTACGTAGTATAATATAAAAAAGCATTATTGAAGATATTAAAGGAATCTATAACAACAACTTAACTGCTAGGCTTTACTTTCTCCGAAAACGATTTAAGGGGGGGGGGGTCACATCTGTCTTCCAGTACAGCCCATGCGCGGATCTAGAGGGGGGGTCGGGGGGGTCAGGACCCCCCCTGAAATATACCAGGGAAAAAAATGTATATACTAAAACAAGAAAAAAGTTACCATGGACCCCCCCTGGAGGACGCCGACCCCCCCCCCCCCCTGGTAAACGCGAATATGTGTGAAATGGGTATGAAAAGTGGAAAGATTTGAGGCAATAGAAGTCACAACTACCCCCCCCCCCCCCCCCCCCCCCCCCCCCCCCCCACGAAATAGGTTTTTTTTTTTATTTATTTTTTGCTTGTCAAGAAATTTCAGGGATTGGATGTTTTTTTGACTGAGGTGGACCCCCTCTGGAAAAAATTTCTGGATCCGCGCCTGCAGCCAATACATGTTCCTTGATAAAATAAGACACTTCTTTGACATATACGAGTCTTTTTCTTGCTTTTAAAGACATTATTGTTCTTTATCATTCATTTAATAAGGGCAAGATTTTTTACAAATCATGACCCCACGGGGTAGGGTGGGCCCAGTGGACGATCAAAGTTTTGCATTGCCTGACAAAAAATAAATCTATTGTTCCGTCATTGTTGTTTTATAGAGACGTTTGCGGTCAACGCTGTCATTCCATCTTTACACAATATCATTATGTTCTTCAGACATAAAAAAGTAAAGTATGAAAAAAATTAATTGATTGTTGTGGTTGTTTATCGTGAAAACGGAAATTTAGGCAAAGTCCAACTAACTGAATGTTGACTTCACTTAGAACGGTATATGTCCAATGTGGTATTGCAAATAAAAAATGTGTTTGTGAAAACACTGATGCCCCCTTTTTGCATGAAAGGGAAGGTTAAATTTTCTCAAATGCAATTCAAGTATGTTGATACCAAAAGTAAGGGCTTATCACATAAAATACAAACGTAAATGAAATATTAAACCCTAGCACCACCTGTTTAAAAGTTATGACCAAGTTTAACATTTTTAAAAGGTAAGTCAAACACCGGGATCAAATATAAAAGCCCTAACCCTAAACCCTTCAAAAGTTATTGCCAAGGTTAAAGTTTTTAAAAAGTAGGTCAAACTACAAGGTCAAAGTCAAAGTTGTTGGAATAAAAAAAAAGGTCTTGTTGCAAGGATTATAAATATGTGATAGTATGAAAGCCCTAGCCCTTACCATTTAAAAGTTTTGGACAAGGTTAAGGTTTTTAAATGTACATGTAGGTTAATCTCCAAGGTCAAGGGTGTCAAGGTTGTTGGTTTCTGAAGAGAGGTCATGTCACAAAGAATACCTTCTGTATGTATACTTAAAATTGCGGGCTTAATATTTTAGCGGTTTTGGCTCAGACGATGGTGCGCTAATTCATGAATACCACTAAGAATACATTTATAAATAGAATATACGACATGAACATGTGTAACGCTAATTCATGATTACGCCAACAACTCCATATCCATTGATTGCGCTAAATTTTGAATACACCAAATTATGTACACATACCCCGGTACATGTGAAGTAAGAAAGTCCTAGACCTTACCATTCAAAAGGTTTGTCCAAGGTTAAAGTTTTTAAAGTAGGTAAACCTCCAGGGTTGTTGGTTTCTGAAAATAGGCCTTGTCATAAAGAATACATATGTGAAGTATGAAAGTTGTAGCACCAGCCGTTCAAAAGGTACGGACAAAGTAAGTTTGGAAATTTTGTCAAATTCAAAGGTCAAAAGGTCAAGAGGTCAAATTTGGTGGTGCCCAAAGAAAGGTCCTATCACAAGGAATACACCTTTGAAATATAAAAGCCATAGTCCCACCCAGTCAAAAATTATGGGCAATGTTAAAGTTTTTCGGACAAACAGACAGACGGAGAGGGCAAAAACCATATACCCCCGAACCTTCGTTTACGGGGGTATAAAAAAAAACAACGATTACTCACCATTTTGCCTTTAATCCTTTGAGAAAATAGAATTTTTTGAAGTCAAAACTTGATTATTTCAAATACACTCAGTCAGGTGCAGTCCTACATGTATGAAGTCGAGTGCAAAACGAATAACTAATGTCTTAAAGACTCCTTTAAGCTCCTGACTTTCATTCATTAAAAGACAAAGCTATTACCGTCATGTACACATATTTTGAATATGCTGAAATTAATCTTATGAACTACTCACTATGGACCGTCACCTGACCTGTTGAAAACAGGCTAATATCTCTTTGAACCTGTGTTATATTGCACTTTTCATGATTAATTTGCACCTTTGATATTTTACTGTTGCTGTGCTCCTGTTTCGTATTGTTTTGAATGGACTTGACTCCATATACAATGTATTTTATAACAAGAAACAAAGGGAAAACAATATGTATTTGTAATACACTGATGCCACCGTATGGCAACAAAGCGAAGATTAAACTTTTCTTAAATGAAAATTAAATATCATGTTGGTACCCGAATTAAGGTCTTCTCACAGAAATATTCAGTTGTGAAATATGAAAGCCTTAGCACCACCTGTTCAAAAGTTATGGCAAGGATAAGTTTTTGAAAGGTAGGTCAAACTCAAGGTCAAAGGGTCAAAGTTGTTGATTTCTTTTTTAAAAAAGGGCTTGTCACAAGGATTATAATAATGTGAAGTATGAAAACCGTAGTCCTATTTGTTCAAAAGTTATGGCCAATGTTTTCTAAAAGTAGGTCAAACTCCAAGGTCAAAGGGTCAAAGTTCTTGGTATCCAATGAAATGTCTTGTGACATGGATAAAATATGTGAAGTATGAAAGCCCTAGCCCTAACTATTCAAATGTTATAATCAAGCTCTGTTTTTAAATATGTAGGCCAAACTCCAAGGTCAAGGTCAAAGATATCAAAAATCGTGTTATTACATTTTGCGTTATTACATTTCGCGTTGTAACACTGCGTACATGTAACTCAATTAGTTCCGCAACAGTGAAACGCATATCACGTTTAATTACGTTCCTAACTCTTTTGACAAGATTTTTAACTAAAACCTGTTTCTTTGCAGACCATCCATCGTCCGATTCAAACTCGCTACCACTCAAAAATTGTATTTTCCATATTTATACAAATACACGACTTATTATATCCCCGCTTGAAAAGCGGGAGGGTATATAGTAATCGTTATGTCCGTCCGTCTATATGTCCGTCCGTCTGTCTGTCTGTTACGCTTTGGGGTACCCATCTCTTATCCGCAACTCCTCCTATACCACTGAATGAAATTTAATGAAACTTCCACAGAATCTTTATTACATATTGTCATTGTGCACCTCCTATTTTATTTTTCGATCCGACACATATTTTGGGTTTCCCACAACAAAAGATGGACACTCCTATTACAGTAAAACACGTTTAGTACGAACACGGATATAACGAAGTGTTTCTTGGTCCCCGGCAAAATTCTTAACAAATCTTCGTAAAATTTTACGGTTATAACGAATTCTGATATAACGAATATACGGATATAGCGAACTGATTTTGAGTCCCGTTGAGGTTAAATATAATGAATTTTACATCTTTTATAACGAACTTTCAAAGATTTCAAAATTTGAATAATTGACTGCCTTTATTTTCTCTCAGCATTTGTATATAAAATTCATTTCATAATAAAACCTTAGTTATCGAAGGTATGTTTTGTAATATTTGCTTCCCTAACATATTTGATAGTAACACTTGAAGGAAAACATGCATATTGCGAATTCGCTATATATGGTTATACGAATTTGTTTTACGGATATAACGAATTACGGATATAGCGAATTAAATTAACAGGTCCCCAGGAGTTCGCTATAACCGTGTTTTACTGTATATTCATATGGGAGGCGGGGAGTATCATTTAGTGAGCTCATTGATCACAGTAACTCTATTTTTCTTACATTTTCTGGTTTATTCAGAATGTTTTAAGTTTGTTGAAGATGTTTCCCGAATGCAAAGCAAAATTTTATTGCTACTCGCTGCTCCGTGACGTCCTCAAACGTCATGTTTTTAATCATGTCCATATGTGTTTAGAAACTGATATCTTTTAAACGGAGTGATATATTACATTACCTGATTGCATCGTAAGTAATATAGCAAGA